GTGCTGCTATTTGTAGAGGGGTAAGAAAAGCCAAGCAACAGAAAACTCTCCTCCAACAGATACTTGCAAAGCGAGTGCTCTAACCGCTGAGCTACAGGGCTCCACAGTAGTGACATATACCCAAGCAATAATCAGCGTTTTGAGAGAGGGGAGAAATGGGAAGGAAAATTGCCCCAAAATACGTGGTTACATGAAAGAAATAAGTCTAAAAGAGTAGCCAAGGGAGAAATAATCACATATGGAATATTCAGGTAAAATGCATTAAATAATCCAGGTGTAAAACATCCAGGTGTTGGGTTCTTGTTGAATACGAACACCAGCATGGACTAGTTGGGCCAAAACCCTCAGAGCACAATAAGCAGAAAGTTATTTGAAACAATCAGAACATGCTTCATAATTACTATTATTACCTATTACCTCATCCACTCGCACTCTTAAACTGTCTCTCGGACATTCGTCCCTTGTGCTCACTCAGGATTCTCCGTATGTGTGTCTGTGTGTCCATGGGAACCATGTTTCGCTCAAAGTAGACTTTTGGCTAGAAGTTGAGGTGCAGAAGCATATTTGCAGAGAATGGCAGGTGCTGTAGTTCTAAAGTTGCAAACAGGATTGTAAGGTAGGAGTATAGTAAAGAAGATTGTTCTTAACTTAATTTCCTGGGCAAGAAATAACGTCAAGGCAGGCATCTTAACCATGTGCCTCCTTACAACACGGTCCCTTGATGTCTCTTCATACCTGTGGATGTGCACCACACAAGGCAGGGCAAAACCTTGGGCAAGTTTCCTTACTCCACACACCTAATAATAATCCCTCCAAAACAATAATAAATTTTGAATCCACGAGTGTTTGTGGGACGCTGCTGTGCGCAATTGGCTGCCTCGTTTTGCCCACAAATATACGGTCGATTCACTTTACAGCATATTCTGTGAAGCGCTTTGAGACATCTAGAAGATGTGAAAAGCGCTATATCAAATGCAAGGATTATTATTATTATATTATAATACACATCATACTGTATCTTGCTTCTTGTCAGTAAACTATTCTCCAAAAACACAATGAAAGGGTTTTTTCCCTACTTTTCTTTCCCTTCCGATCTCTTATGCCACCAAGCCTCAAACATGCATTGGATGGTGTCCTGCAAAATTCCTTGAGACTTGGGCAATGCTGGCTAAATACCGGAACATAAAACAGAAAATAGGTAGCAAAATATTTACAATTGTAATAAATTTACATTCATATAGCACCTTTCACATCTGGAGGACTTCCCAAGACGCTGGAATCTTTAACTTAATGCTTTAAACTTAGCTGGAGGTACAATTGATCCCAAGGGTGCCACAGAGGAATTTCATGTGTCCTCAAATCATTTAGCATAAACTAACATTGAGATAAGATTAAATAAACATTCTAACCGCCTGAAAATTACATAATTAACCTTTGAATCTGTTTAGGCACACTGTCAACCTCAATTTTACACATAATGCCATTGCAATAGGAGATCGACATTTTAAACCAGGAGCAAAGAACAGCGAATCTCACTCACTATGGATGCAATGGGTGCAGACTGAATACCACATTAGCTCTCGCAAAATTTCTATCTATTTGTTTGCTACCTGCCTAACACATTCTGGTATTGGAGACAGAGACAAAATGAATGATTCCTAATGATGACACTGGGCATAGCATACAAAACATCAGTCCAGGCGTTAGATATCAGATGAGTATCAATGAAGAGATTAACTTATTTCAAGTAATAACAACATGTTTTGCTGTACACAACATGACAGACTGTGAAGTAACCTTACTTACAAAAAAAAACTACCCTCGACAGCTTGATTACTTTGCGACGGTTCTCACCCCTTTATGTAACCCACAAAGTTGAGTAACGCAAAGTGTTTTCAATTCTAAGTGCAAATCCTTGTAAAGTTCTTGTGGAACTTAGCTACCGAGAGCAACACGACAGGTCGACGGATATCCTCAATTGACTTACAGTCCATGCAGTCAAGATGCTTTCCCCAGTACCTCGCCCCTTGCTTCCCCATCTTCAGGTCGCTCCTGAAGACATTCCTATTTAACCGTGCCTACGGTCACCTCCCCCCCTCCTTGGCACCGTGCTCCGCCGATGTTAATCGCTCTGGGACACTATCCTGGATGAGGGGACACTAAATAAATGCAAGTTGTTGTTATACTTATTTCCGGTGGTGGAGGCAGGGGCTGAGCGACCGCTCCTCGATCACAAACTACCAACGGCAGTTCACTCTCTCTCTCTCTCTCTCTCTCTCTCACTCACGCCCTTTACCGGCACACTACACCAGTAAAAAAAAAGTGTTTTAAAACAAAAAAAAATCCTAAATAAATAAATTATTGGGTCGCTCAATCCACGACCGTTTGTGGGACATTGTGGGACATTACTGTGCACAGTTTGCTGCCGCGTTTCACTACACTTTACAGTCTATTCTGTGAAGCGCTTTGAGACGTCTTGAAGACGTGATGAGGCTCTATATCAAATGCAAGGATTATTATTATAATTGCTTTCGTGTTAGGGGGTGGTGCGGGAGGCAACCCTTCCACTAAAAGTCACTTTACATAAGAACGTAAGAAATGCTAGACGATAAAAGACCGAGGTCCATCCAGTTCGTCTTCCAACCTTCCTGGCGGTCACATGCACATGTGTCCCAAGTTACCTATGTACTGTATCCCAGTGTTAGTTGGTCAGCCTGGCTCACACTTGTGGGTCCAAGCCCCAAGTCAGGACGGTGAGAATCCAGTGTAATGCTGGGAGTATGCTGTATTGTTGGAAGTACTGTCTTTCAGTTGAGTTGTTTAAAAAGACCCTGATATCCCATCTGCCCGGTTGGGGGCACTATTTGAAAAGAGTTTCTCGCTGACAACCCCCGGGACTGTTTGGGGGACATTGCCGTGCCCGAATTGGCTAGAGCATTCACCTGTAAAATACACAAGTCACTGCACTTCACAGGAAATTCTGTGAAGCGCTTTGAGGCATTCTCCTAAAGTTTTCTGCCATTTCATACTCTTTCAACTTGGATTACTTGGTAGCACTCTTAACAGCAGATTGTGGGTTCAAGCCCCACTTTGAGAGTTGAGCTACTGGGAAGGGTACTACATTGTTGTTGGTTCTGCCCTTCGGATGAGACATTGAACCAAAGTTTTGTTTGCCCGTTCAGGCAGTACATTAAAGATTCTGTAATTGTCAACAATTCGATCTACTCGATCTACCACTGTTTGTGGGACACTGCTGTGCGCAAATGGCGTTTCGCCCACAAAATATACAGTCAATTCACTTTGCAGTACATTCTGTGACGCGCTTTGAGACGTCTCGAAGACGTGATAAGGCGCTATATTAAAATGCAAGGATTATTATTATATTAGTATTTAGTTGCTCAGCGACAGACCATCATAGGCTGGAACCCTCCCTCCCTCCTTACAGTTTGCCACACAAATCCACCTCGCTGTTTGATCCTGGACTTTTCAAATGGGCCAGAGGAAATCTCTAGTGCATCCTCAGGAGCTCAGAACCATAAAGGAGACCTCTTTTCAAACAGGTCAATATGCCACAAGTTGATCTGCATTGGGATTGACTTGTTATCCTTGAAGGGAATAATTGGATGGAGACTTGTGTGGACTATTAACACCAGCATGGACTAGTTTGGGCCAAATGTGTAATATTACTTGATCCAAATCAAGGGTATGTTTTGTAGCTTCTTTATTTGGATTTCCAAGCACTCAATAACCAAGCACACTCAACCACACACTTTGTACCACGCCCAGTATCCTTTTGTACTTCCTGCCCTTCGTTCTCGGTCCTTTGCTAATTGTCAATTTACTCTTACAGGCGTATCCAACAAAATGTTTCCTTGCTGCAACAATCTATAGAATTCTTAAGAACACAAGATTGGTTTGGATGAAGAAGGCCCTCTGGCACATCCTTCCAGAAGGATCCTTCCAATGCTCAACATCCTACCATTTTATTATTATTATTATTACTCCTCTCCTCCCCCATCACGGATGGCATCAAGCTGTTTTTTTTAAATATTACAGTGTCCTAGCCTCAACAACAACTTGCATTTATGTAGCGCCCTTCACCCAGGATAATGCCTTGGAGCTCTAACATCTTCCCTTGGCAAACTGTTCGTATTGTTCATTACCCTCACGGTAAAGGAAACCTCCTGGTATCTGTCCTGAAATTGCCGTTTACAACTCCTGTCGTTCGACTCGACTATGTTTATGACAATTTTTTGGCTTTGGTTTCTGTACCACTATGGTCTTTGGTGGACATTACTTAGATGTTCCATTGTATTGAGGTAATTTTGTTTCTTCCCATTTTCTACCTTTGACAATCTTTTACTGTCCTACTTTTAGCCCTACTATACCTCACCAGTTTTTGATCTATCTTGTTTTTCTCTACTCTTCATGACAGTGCAATAACATTATTAATCTTTGAATTCAATTCGGTATCTCAGTTGACTATAGCTCCCAGTTTCATTTTCCAATAAGGATTTGCTGTTCCACGAAACATTTGTCATTGTGAAACTGAAACCAATTTCATGTTTTCAAAAGTGCAAAACAGTTCTTAAAGCAAAGCTGCAAAGTATGTTCTACAATGCTCACAAAGAGTTGTGTTTTAACCGGATGAAAAGTATAATAAATTACACATCAATTTCCCGGAAGGAAATGCAAACTTTTAAGAAAAGCTTTCAGATTTTTTTAAAAAGAAAATGGGAGTAAGATAAGAGTATTTCGGTGGGGGTGGGCTGCAACTCGTCAATGATAGAAATATGATTTCACTGTTTTCTATTCAGAAAGGATTCTGTTGAGTTATTCTGTAGTAGTTTTCACTGCATTCTAAAAAAAANTGGCTTGCCTTTCTATTTTTCTGCATTTATAATATTAACTTAATTTACAAAGCAGTTCATTGGGTGAGTATCATATTTGTGAACCGCCCACTTATATAAATCAACTCATTCAGACAGATTCTTGAGTTCAAGTTTAGATGCCTTGAAGATGGCTTGTGGAGGGATAGTTTATTCTGTCTATGTGACAGGTTTGTCACAATTTAAGAAAAGAACAGTTGAAAATAAGCTAGCTGCTTACTTTCAAAGTAAGAAGAAGTCTGGTGGTGGAGAGTGTAATGTAAATATCCTTGAAAATGGAGAGGCAATGGTAACTTTCAACGAGAAACATGGTATGTTTTGCTGTAGTTTTACATTTAAAATTAGTTTGCAATACAGTGAGACTGAATTCAGAATATAATAGCAACAAATTGCATTTATATAGTGTCTTTCACATCGGGAGGATGTCCCAAGGCGCTGGACAGTCAGGGTTTGCACCCGTGCTGGTGGTTGGCATCAAGAGGGGTGGAGGGCAAGGGTGGTGAGAGGGTGACTGAGAGCACGGTTAAAATTACTGGCTATGGCGAGAGGAAGATCGTGAAACGGGTGCTGAAGGAAGCAAAGGAGGGGGTGAGGCGAAGGGACTCACCAGAGTTCCAGGGAGAGGGGCAGAATGGCCTGACTGCCGATGGTGGGGGGTGCAGGGCGGGGGAATGGATAGGTTGGTAAGTCGCAGAGGTAGCGAGGAACAAGACCGTGGAGGGCTTTAAAAGAAAAGCAGTTTGCATGTTATTGCGGCATTTGTTTGCATGTTATTATTCATAGTGCAAATTCTTTTTTAAAAAAATTATTTTTTTTGTTCCAATTAGGAAACATTTAAATTGTAATTTTACAGCTTTTTCCAAATAAAATAAAATGAAAGTTGATTTCCTTGAGTTGAATCCCCTGGAAATCCCCCACCTTCTTGTGAAACTGAAAGAAAACTTTTGCAGCTTAAGGCTCAGTCAGTTCTTAAAGTAATTTCCTGTTTTAAAACTATTACAACCGTTGAACACAGTTATTAAATCAACATGAAACCAAAAATATAAACAAATTGTTCGCAGGTTCTTTTCGTGTCGACGATGCCATTTTACTGTTCATCAATCCTAAAGCTCTGAAAATATTTGAAAACATTAAATACAAACATGGTGGAAATCCACAACAGGACAGGATGTATCAGAAAGAGAAAGTAACTTAGCTTTTTGTTTGTCAGCTTCCATAAGAACTTTTGTTTCTGTGCGTCCTTGTCTTAGTTGCACACATAATTTGTTCGTTTAAAACACCGTCTTAATTGGCTTCCGCCCGGCAGTGGTACAGTATCGTTTAAATGTAAAGAAAAGTAAAACTTTTCAGGGTGAAAGTGTAAAAGCTGCTGACTTTTTGGACTCAAGGATTATCGAAGCAATTCCTTTTATGAATCATGGACTGTGATCCCGTCCACCACCTTCTTTCCTCATGCCTGGAGAACACAGGTGGCTGGGGAGGAAATCATTCTAGTTAGACACGCAACAACAACAAATTACATTTATATCACATCAGGAGGACGTCCCAAGATGCTGGGTAGTCTTGCACCCGAGCTGGGGGTTGAAATCGAGAGGGGTGGAGGGCAAGGGGTGGGGGCGGTGAGGGTGGGAGTGGGGGTGGGAGAATCACCAAAGGCACGGGTTCTGACCCACTTACGCCCCAACCCACAACCTGCTGCCTCCGCTCGACTGGCATCCTGTATTCTGCTCGTGCCCTCCGTTCCACCATTGGCGGCCATACTTTCAGCCACTACGCCCGAAACTCTGGAACACTCTTCCTCTATTCCTCCATCTCGCCCCTTCCTTCCCCATCTTCAGATCGCGCCTGAAAACCATCATCTTCGACCGTGCCTACGGTCACCTCCCCCTCCCCCCCAGCTCGGTGTCGTGCTCATCCACTGTTCTGTACCTTCTTTTAACATGTATTTTTGCAGCTATGTATTGTTGAGCGCTTCAGTAAGCCTGTGTGCTATTGATGGCTTGGTGTTTGCGCTATTGGAAAGCTCGTGCAGTTACGCAGCTGCGGTGTATAGCTTTAAGAGCGATTTAAAGTCCATAGCCAGTAATTTTATTTAAAGGAAAATAGCTCATCAGCGACATCAAATATAGAATTGGCAATAATTTGGTGGGAACTTCCCTTTGCTATAGTTATAAAGAACTGGTAGAACCAGTCGTCTTGCTGACTCTCATTACAGAAGTTACACCTCAAAATAGGGTACTTGCACTCACAGAGAAGGGACTAACAGAGAGGCCGTTTAGTTCACTACACAGGAAACATTTTGGGTGTTTACATTAGGGGTGCGAATCGTCGCAGTGTGACCACATCTGTATTATCATGGATGTTGTCACACCCATGGCTATATATGGACTCTTTCAAATATTCCAATAACAAACCTCAGCATTGGAATTGTGATCCCATTCTCCACCTTTTTTGCCCATGCCTGAAGAACCCAACATTCACATAGTGCCTTTCACATCGGGACGATATCCCAAAGTGCTGCGAATTGGAATCAGGAGGGTGGAGGGCAAGGGAGGTGAGTGGGAGAATGACCGAAGCACGGTCAAAGCGGAAGGGCTCGAGATGGGCCTTGAAGGAAGCAAGGGAGGGGGCGAGGAGAAGGGACTTGCCAGAGTTCCAGAGGGGCAGAAAGGCTTGACTGCTCGAGCGGAGGGAACGGGCAAGTTGTTGAAGGTTTTAGTAGCTTGCAGAGGTAGGGAGGAGGAAGACTAGGGAGGGCTTTAAAAGTGAGGACTAGGATCTTAAGCTCGAACCTCTGTGATGTAACTCCTGGGTAAATGAAATGAGTAAATTCAATACAAAATTTTGGGTTGCCCAACCATTATCAATTTGCAACATGCACCAATACAGAATAAACAATACCAGGCCACTAGTGATGGACGATCATGCAAGGGAATACACTTGGTCATTTTAAAAGAAAATAACAATCTGTGAGGAGCAAAATTAAAGTTGATTCTTGTAAGATATAATATAATAATAATAATCCTTGCACTCGATATAGTGCTTTTCACATCTTTGGGACGTCTCAAAGTGCTTCGCAGAATATACTGTAAAGTGAATTGACTGTATTTTTGTGGGCGAAACGCGGAGGCCAATTGAGGATGGCAGTGTCCCACAAACAGTTGTGGACTGAGTGCCCAAATTATTATTGTGTTTTTTTTCTTGAGGGATTATTATCAGGCGTGTGGAGTAAGAAAACTTGCTCAAGGTTTCGCCCCCTGCCGGGAATCGAACCCAGGTCTCTGGCTTGTGAGATGAGTGCTCTAACCATTGAGTTATAGGACTCCCAAGCATTCTAGTTGGAATATAGTTAGTACAGCAAAAGTGTATTAAAACGTCCCTCAAAATAGCACCAGCTTGCTTATGAATTCACAGGGAGTTCATGGTACCTATCATAATAATAATAATAATAATAATCCTTGCATTTGATATAGCGCTTTTCACATCGGGAGGACATCCCAAAGCGCTTCACAGAACACACTGTAAAGTGAATTGACTGTATATTTGTGGGTGAACGCGGCACCAATTGCGCACAGCAATGTCCCACAAACAGTCGTAGATTGAAAATAACCAATTTATTATTGCTTTGTTTTGGAGGGATTATTATTAGGCTCTGTGTGGAGTAAGGAAACTTGGCCAAGGTTTCGCCCTCTGCCTGGAATTGAACTCAGGTCTCTCGCTTGCAAAGCGAGTGCTCTAACCACTGAGCTACAGGACTCCACATCCACCTAGTGAGGAATCAAACCCACACTTGTTGGATGTTAAACGACAAATTAGTGACTATCCTTCTTGAGGGGAGGTAAGCGAGGTTTTTTCGGAGTTGAACTGGCTCCAAGGTGACATGTTTGGCAACCGAACGAAGGAATCGAACCAGCCCTCTGTGGTGGTCTTTGTAGTCCGTTTCCTGAACCATGCAACTACGTAGTACACCAGGGCACTGCTGATGACAGCACAGCACAGCCCGGCTCATAGGCAGGGCCTGGAAGGACAGACCAATCACCGGGTGCAGGGAATTATTCCTCTCAAAGCCAAAGTTTTCTGCCATTTACAGTGGAAGTGAAAGTAAAGTACTGTAGTTCCTTTTTTTTATAACAATGATGAAGTATTCCTTCTGCTTCTACAGCAAATCCTTGTTCTAATGCACTTTGATGTAAATGTGGGCTCACTTATAGGACAATTGGGGTTTGGACCCTGAAATTTATTTACCAAAAAATCCAAAATGATGGCAGAAAACTTGCCACTGTGCTTCAGAACTCTGACTGGCTTCCCATGCGCTAAAACATGACCGACTTTGGGGTCATTTGGTTGATGTTGGCGATGACCCTCAAGTCAGATATTGTTTAGATTGGGAAGCCAGTCAGCGCATGCATCTCTACTCTAATCAACGCCCCCCCCCACCCCGCCCCACCCGCTGACTCGGGCCTTCTGTGCATCCCTTGACAAACCCTTGGTTGCTCGACCCCTACACATCACCATTGGCAGCTGTGCCTTCAGTTACCACGTCCCGAATCTCTGAAACTCCCTGCTTCAATCTCTCGCACCTGAAGACTTTTCTCTTTGACCATGTCTAAGGCAGATCCCCCTTTTCCCCGTCTAGGTGTTCAGGGCCTCAAATCCTTACAGACGTAAGGAGTGATAGGAGTGATGGGTGGTTGGGTAGGTGGAAAATGGATGGATGCCAATGAATCCATTTGACCATCTAATTTTGATAGAGGTGATTTTTCAACGTTCTCACTTGGCATCTTTCTAGATATTAATTGAAGTAATAATTTGGAATATTTTTAATTTTAGCACAAAAGTCTGTCTTGGAAAGGAAGCACTTCATTACCATTGAAGGAAAAAGCATTCCGCTAACTGTAAGCCAGGAAAGTGATAAAACCAGCATTCCTGAAGATGTCCAAGATCTTACCTCACCGGTAAGTGTAACCTCTGCAATAAATGTAAGATCCTGTTAACTTTTCCCTGTTTCATTGTTTTACTTTAGACACAGAGCATGCAACAGGCTGAACAAATTATTCTTTATTGATAATTTCTGACCTTTTTAATTCTTTTACATTTTCTATTCCACATAGCCCAGCAGAGCATTGACCTCAAGGCCCTTGTCCTCACCTTGTAGAGTAGAGAGTGATGGACTCACTGCTCCTTATCTCTTCAATCTCCTCCACCCCTGCTGTTCTGCCCATAACAAGGCCAGATTAAGGGATTGGGGGCTTCTAAACCAGATCACATTTGGGAGGCCCTTTGAACTATGCACCAAAATATGCAACAATACCTTTCTAAAATACTTTCTTGCATCACTTCATAGTTGCAAACATGTCAACCCCACGATCAAATCTTATTGTACAGGTCAGTTTGTGCTCAGTTGACATGATTTTGATCTATTCCAGGCAGGTCAGGGCGAAACCTTGGGCAAGTTTCCTTACTCCACACGCCTAATAATAATCCCTCCAAAAAACCAAAAACAATAATTAAATTGGTCATTTTCAATCTACGACTGTTTGTGGGACATTGCTGTGCGCAATTGGCTGCCGCGTTCGCCCACAAATATACAGTCAATTCACTTTACAGTGTGTTCTGTGAAGCGCTTTGGGATGTCCTCCCGACGTGAAAAGCGCTATATCAAATGCAAGGATTATTATTATTATTATTATTATTATTTGATCTATTCTGGATCATTGTAGATCTGAGTGTGTATTTGATGAGACTCACCTTTGAGAATGAGCGTTCACATTCACAGACTGTTACAAGTCGTGTTAAGAACATACAAAAGAGCAACTGCACACATTTGGAAATGTTGACTCTACCAAATGATTCTGCTTCCATATACTCTGGCAGTTTTCTCACACTTAATACGTGACATGAAATCCAGAAAGTGCAAGAATGCAAAAATACTGTCTATATTAAAATCTTTCAAATCTTGCCAAATAATTTTGCAGGAAGACATTACCCCAATTAAGATCAACATCAATCAAGGCTGACTCATGTTTTTTTCCTGTAAATAATAATAATCTTAACAATAATCCTTACATTTGATATAGCGCTTTTCACGTCTTCGAGACATCTCAAAAGCGCTTCACAGAATATACTGTAAAATGAATTGACTGTATATTTATGGGCGAAACGCGGCAACCAATTGCGCACAGCGGCGTCCCACAAACAGTCGTGGATTGAGTGACCAAATTATTATTGTTTTTTTTTCAAAATTATTATCCCGGAAGAACGATCCGCCAATTGACTTACAACCGGGTTCCTGCCGGGAATAGAACCTCAATTTAATTGAGGTTGCCGCAAATCATGCCAAGAATATTTTGCTCTTGGAGCTTCAAAGTCCATGTATCCATTGCAGAGCATATTGCCATCGCAGAAGATATTCAGTTGGCTGCACCTGCACTGTTCCTGGTTTGTTTCAATTTGAGAAGTAATTTCATTGCTAAAGTTACTAAAACTAAAATTCGGAAAATTCCGAAGTAAAATTCAGATTCTTTTTAATTGACTGTTTAAATTTTCAGGTCAAGGATGCTTCTAGCAGTAAACCTGAAGGTAAGAGCAAGCAGCCGTCACTGAGAATTGGTCCCATCTATTGATGAACAAAATTAGATGGCGAATATCCAATCAATAATTTTGTCACATACATCCTGAAAAATAAAACCTAAATGGGGTAGAGGAGCAAAGGGATCTAGGGGTACACATACACAATTTACTAGTAGTAGCAACGCAGGTAAATAAGGCCATAAAAAGCAAACCAGGCATTGGGATTCATTTCTATGGGGATAGAAATGAAATGCAGGGAAGTGATGGTAAACTTCTCTAGAACCTTGGTCAGACCACACTTAGAATACTGTGTGCAGTTCTGGTCCCCACATTATAGAAGGGATGTAGAGGCACTGGAGAGGGGGCAAAGGAGATTCACAAGGAAGATCCCCGATCTGAGAGGTTATATGTATCAGGAAAGGAGGGTAGGGGGTGACCTGATAGAGGTCTTTAAATGAAAGGTTTTGGTAGAGTAAACATAGGGAAGATGTTTCCACTTGTGGGGGAGACCAAAACCAGGTGCCATCAATATAAAATAGTCACAAATAGATCAAATAGGGAAGTTAGAAGAAATTTCTTCACACAGAGAGTAGTGGGAATGTGGAACATACTACCCACAAGGAGTTGTTGAGGCAAATAGATTAGATGTATTTAAGGGAAAGCGAGAGAGGTACATGAGGGAGAAAGGAATAGAAGGTTATGCTTGAAGGCTTAGTTGAGGAAGGGCAGGAGGAGGTTCATGTGGAGCATAAACACCGGCATAGACCAGTTGGGCCGAATGGCCTGTTTTTGAGCTGTATATTCTAATGTATTCTAATATGCTTAGATTTTCTGAAGTCATTTGATAATTTTTGAAGTTTTTAAACAGTTTATAGGATCCCTTCATGTGGGAAGGTGTCTCGGAGCGCTGAACAATGGGATTTGGGGTCAACCTGGTTCGAAAGGGGAGGTGACCAAGGGATATTTTTCAAGTAGGATAGGTTCCTTTGTCTTTAGGTTTGCGATTTTTAAACACAGGTTAAAGTCCAAATCGTTACAAATATAGGATTAGTGGGTTTAACACCTGTTTTTTGGATCAAGTGAGACTGAAAGTTTGCCAATGAAATTTCCCTCTGCTTCCAATGGAATGCACTCTCCCTTGAAAGACACACACTCCTGAACGAATTCTGAAGAGTATTAGGTGCAGGTTGGCAAGAGCTAGCGTTGGTTTACTGCTGGAGATGCAGACACTTGTTCAGTTAGGACTGTTATAGCTTTGGATTGCAGATATAGCAGGCGCTGAGCGGGAAGTAGGGACTGGTCTGCCCGTCCAAGTCCGGTCAGAGAGCCAGGCTGGCTAGTGTGTCATCAGCGGTGCCTTGGAGTAAGTAAGCCCACCTGGCTCAGGAACCGGGCGACTGAGACAGTCCCAGAGTAATGTGACTCGATTCTGATATTCCGTTGTCAAGCACGTCACTTTGTTACCAGCTCAGTTCAAGGCGACCCTGATTATAATGAGGATAGCATCTAAATGTCTTTTTTGTCTCGATAATCTATGGATGGGAATTACATTTCATGGGGGTAAAAAAAATGTCTTTAGTAGAATTCTAGATTTCTGACAGACAAAATCAGCTGCTGTTCCAGTCATCCCGGAAATGTAAGTTGTGGTTGGTCTCACAGAGCATGAAAGGAAGTGAAGTTAGCAGTGCAGAATGCAACAGACTCACAATCGGAACACCCCGCCTCGTGCATAAAGCCGAATGGAGGTTCATGACCACATGGCTGCCGTCAAGTAAAGGAGTAGTGTACCAACAAGTAATCTACACTGAAAGTTGATCAAGTGCCCAAGAAGCAGAAAAAAACATTTAGTAGGCCTAGGGCTCTGCATAAAATCATTGTGATGCTTCTGTTATTATCAGATCTTTCACAGAGTTCTAACATTCCCCTTCCTTCACCCTGTGACCTAATCATAATTATAGGTTTTCATACAAATGATTTGCACTGCTCAGTGCTTGTAATACAGTATAATGCACTTTTATGTACAATAATGCCTTTCTTCTCGGCAGGATGTCTCAAAAGAGCTTCACGGGTTATTCTGTAAAATGAAGTGATTGTGTATTTTGCAGTGTCAGAATGTGTGTCAGAAATAACATTTTTACAGTCAGGAAAGCATAGGAGACATAGAAATTCATTACTTTTTATATTTGTAATGTTTTGGTTCATAATTTACAGTAATCTTCCACTTTATCTCACCAATAGTTCCACTGAGCAACGTACAGAACAAAACACTGGAGGGAAGTGATCCAGTTGAATCATCGCGTGTTTGTATTAAAGTAGATACTGTAAAATTTTCAAGGGGAAACGTCGACTTTTTCATTGAATGTTGTATTGGCACATCATCTTTCCACATGCGACATACCAATGAAGCTACAACGTTTATTCTGGAATTCACCGATGACACTGGTAAGGTTAAGAAAAATGGTGATTCGGTTGTCCCAATCATTTGTGAATTGAAGTTTTTTAACAGTCGGAAGCTATGTAGAATGTCAATGGAGCAAGACATCCAAAAATGTCTTTGATGTACCACACAAAAGACTTCTTTACACGTGTCTCACACAGAGGGTTGTGAAAATGTGGAATGCACTGCTCCAGAAGGCAGCCCACATTCAATCAATTGAGATATTAAAATATACAGAGTATACAGAGATATTTTCTTACAAACAGCTCAATGGTCCATGTTCTTACTCCACAGGAGTCTCCACTCATTCCTTGTCCCTGCCATTCCACTCTCCCCTTCCCATCTGTGAAAGATCGAATCGGGGGGGTTTGGGGGGTGGTTTAGCATCTATACTATCTGATTCAACCATCGATTTAGGCACTGAGTACCACAATCTCACTAACCTCTGCATAAAGCAGTTCTTCCTAAATTCTCTTATTTCTCTTAGTCGCTATCTTAAAGCTATAAATGCAAGGATTATTATTATTAATTAGCTGTACCTGTTGCAGCTACACTTGCAACCAAAGGATCCAATATGGAATGTAGATTTCAGTGATACCACTCGCAAACCATTATGCCAAAGACACTGTGTGTACACCTTAAGCAAAATTGTGCGATGAGCTGTTTGGGTCATAGCTCATCAACGATAGAAGATTCAAAATGGAGTGATCTCTGCTGCTGGGGGCCATTTTGCTGTGTTCTTGCATGTCTTTCTGCGTCAAAGTCCCGCCGGGCTGTTCTTTAAGCGAGAAACTCATTTTGTCATGCTTTGTAGTCGTTTACAAAACCGAGGCCCTCCTGATTGCCGAGCGGGCCTTCAGCCACTCTGCCCCCACCCTCTGGAACTCCATCCCACAGTCCCTCTGCCTCTCCCCCTCCCTTACTTCCTTCAAGACCCATCTCAAGATCCTCCTCTTCAACCATGCCTTCAATCACCCTCCTTCCCCCCTGCCCTCCACCCTCCCTGATCCTGACCCCCAGCTGGGGTCCAAAACACTGACTGTCCAGTGCCTTGGGATGTCCTCTCGATGTGAAAGGCGCTATATGAATGTAATTTTGTTGTTGTTTACGCATTCAAGTCCAGCCGTGCTGTTCTTTGAGTGGGCAATTAATTTTGCCATGTTCTTGCATGCCTTTCTGCATGAAAGTCCAACGGTGCTGTTCTTTGTTCTTCAGTTTCATTTAATCGGCCTTCTCTCTTTTGTCTGACATTTTTATTTGTCCTTGAAAGGGTTGATCTTCACTTCTTAGGCATCTTTATCCCTTAAGATTAAGAAAATGTGCTTTTGGGAGGACTCCTATGGGAGGGCTCCTGTTGGGAGGACTCGAGGGAGGCCTCAGTAAGAGGACTTCAGTGGGATGACTCCTTGTTGGGAGGACTCCTGTTGGTAGCACTCCTGTGGGAGGACTCCTGTTGGGAAGACTCCTGCTGGGAGGACATCTTGTTGAAGTGCATACATGTATGATGAGCTTGTTTAGGTTATAGCTCATCAATGATAGGAGATCCCTGAAAACATATATGTCCATGATATCATCCTTTCCAATGAAGTATAAATCATGTCTCTACGTCAACCGGTTATTGGCGGAAAGACAGACATGTAGACAGACATTTGGTCTTTATCAATATAGATGAGTGAGGGATATAGATTTTGGAAGTATTTTAAGGGTATGGAAATTGGATTAAATGATCTGCCATTATCTAATAAATTGGTGAAATGGGCTGGAGCCCTCAATTTCCTATGTTCCTACAAAATTGGGGATGTTTTGTGGAGGGTTTCATGCAGCAGGCTGGTACCTACTGAGTGATGGTATCGGCTGGGTATATATGGTTTGAGGAAGTAGTAGAGGTAGAGTGGGGCAGTGATTTAAAAGTGAGAATGAGGATCTAGAACTCTGTTTACTGGGAGGTGAGGAGTCATTGGAGCTGGGTGAGGATAGTGGTAAGAGTCTCATAAAGTAGGGGATTTCAGTCTTGAAGACAGCTACCTCATATGGTCAAGTCACCAAGCCTGTGCCATTGGTCTGCTACCATGCTTGCCTGTCCTTCCGCTATGATCCATCAATGTGGCACTTGATTCCATTTCTACCTATCCCAGTACGTTTCATTATGTTTCATCCAATGTTTTTTCTTCCCATTCCTGCTTGGGGAACAGCAGGGCTTGGTTTTTGGTTCAGTCTTATTTCTTACCCAGAAGCTTCTCCTTTTATGGCATCATTTTCAGATATGGAGTTAGATTCCATGTGTACAAAATAATCATCCTTGCATTTGATCACGTCTTCGAGACACCTCACAGCACTTCACACAATATACTGTAAAGTGAATTGACTTTATATTTTGTGGGCGAAACGCAGCAGCCAATTGTGCATAGCAGTGTCCCACAAACAGTTGTGGGCTGAGTGACTAAATTATTATTTAATTTTTTTTAAAGGGATTATTATACCCGGAAAAGTGATCTGCCAATCAATTAACAACCGGGTTCCTATTTACTGCTAGGTGAACAGGTGTGTGGAGTAAGGAAACTTGCCAATATTTCAACCTGCCCGGGAATTAAACCCAGGTCCTCTCGCTTGCGAGGCAAGTGCTCTAACCACTGAACTACATGGACGACATTCTGAGGTTCCACTGACTCTCAGTACTCAAAAGGATTGATTTAAAATCTTTGTCAAGATTTAAAATCCCTTTAAATCCCTTCACAATCTTGTCCCTCTTTATTCGAGGGACAAATTTAATTCAACTATTGAGTGGTGCAGTGTAAGAGTTTCTTTTCAAATTTAACTTGATTCAAAATATCCGTTACCTTGTCTTTCATTTGTGATGCATTTTTCATAGTTGCTCGAACTTGCAGTGACAACTGATCCTTGTTCTTCAGAAATATTTTGGCATCTGGGAGCACCTTTGACAAATTATAAGTGCTTTAAATACTGTCTTCGTTCTTTTCATTCAGTTTAATAATCTTTTACTCATTTTGCAGGTGCAAAATCATTGGCAGTGATCATAAAGTTTGGATAATTTCTATTGCAGGTGGAGTGATAATCTTAACAGCTTTGTCTTTTCTTTTCAGTGATCTTACTCTTTGTTTCCTTTAGATTTGAACAAAGCTGTTCAAAATTTAAGCAGGAGTTTGCTGGAAATGAAAGTGACCGCCATCCAACTCCCAAGAACAGCCCAGCTTCGAGTTACTCAACTTCCGAAGTCCATAACACAGGATCATCTTGAATTGTACTTTGAACATGAACTCAAAGGTCTCGGCCCAGTGAAGGCTGTTTTAGATGAAGCTACACAATCAGCAATAATAGACTTCCCGGATGCAGAAAGTAAGATATCAAAAGTCTTGGTGGTTCTGACGAAGGGTTGTGGACCTGAAACGTTGACTCACTTTCATTTCTCCATAGATGCTGCCTGACCTGCTGAGTGTTCCCAGCGACTTCTATTTTTATGTTTTATTGTTTGTTAAACTGGTATTTCTACATTCACCTTATTTCAAATGAATAAATTTTGAACATTTCTTTTCCAATACAGCTGTCGAGCGCATCCTGTCGAAGCCCCATTACGTGAGTAAAAATACTTTAAAAATTCATCGTTATTATGAAAGCCAGAAATTGACCGAGTTTGCAACTGAGTTTGACACTGAAGAGCCTGGACCATCTAACCAGGAGAAGGACTCTGAATCATTGGATCGTGAATCATTGGATCAAAGGAGCAAAGATGATATTGAAGTTAACAGCAACCTTGTCACAGAAGAATGCATCTTCAAAAACAAATACTATGTTCAGATTTTGAGTCAGCAAAATCTAGAGGAAAACTTTTCTGCTGTTCAGTTTCATTTTGACATGCCCAACAATGTGGTGCAAATTACAGGGAAGGAAAATGAGGTATTCAAAGTTCAGCTAAAACTCTTCAACAAAGGAAACCAATTAGCAATCAACAAGATTCAACTATCAAAATATTTAAGAATGTTTTTGAGCGGTTTGAACAAAGAAGACTTCCTTACATCCCTATTTTTAGACTCAAAAATTAATGTAGCATGTTCATGCGATGAGGCTGAAGATGGAGTAGTTATGTATGGTGCTTCAGAATACCATCTACGAAAAGGTGAAGAAAAGCTCAAGATGACATTTGCGGAAGACAAAACACCAATTCCAGAAGATTTTTGTTTAAACAAGCAAAATGATTTCAGCCGGTTGATAAAGGAAACTGCAAGATCTTTGAAAGCAAATCATCACGAATTGAAGAACGTAGAGGAGAATTATCTGTTGAGCCACTTCCTGGAATCAAAAGCTAATTCAGGTGTTCCCAACTGCTTGATCCTTGTTGGATATAAGATCATTATCAATGAAGCAAAGAAATGCATAGAAAATTACATTTGGGAAAACTCGCCTTGTGAGATTGTTATTGATGTTGAATCGCCTGGTGTCTTTGAATATGTGCAACGATTTTTTAATTTGTCAGAGGTGCTCCAGGATGCTAAAATAGAGTTTCTGAAGAACAAGGATCAGTTGTCACTGCAAGTTAAAGCAACTATGAAAAATGCGTCACAAATAAAAGACAAGGTGACGGATATTTTGAATCAAGTTAAGTCTGAAAAGAAACTCTTACGGCAACCTGGTGCTGTTCAGTTTTTCGACAAAAACCGAGACCTGCTGAAGAAGCTGGAAAACCCATACAAATGCATCATCCACATAGCGAGTCAGGGAGAGAAACAAACAGATGTTACCGTTTCAGAACAATCACAGACCATGTCTACAATTGACTTTCTGAACAAATTTAAAATATCAGTCGTGAAAGGCAATATAATCCTCAGTGACGCTGAAACAATTTTGCACCCAACAAACAAGTCTCTGGATTGTACTTCTGGATTGTCAAAAGCACTTGTAGATGCTGCTGGTCATGAACTTCAACGAGCCTTAAATAAACGCCAATCTCATGTTCAAGGAGGTGAGGCCTTTATAACGAAAGCAGGAAAATTACCCTGGGAATTTATTGTTCATGTAGTTGGAACCAAGCCCCTGTCTTTAACAGAAAACCAAGAAGTTCTTAAAGCGGCCATAGTAAAAGCTCTGTGTCTTGTTAATGATAATTTTTCAAAGTCTATTGCAATTCCTGACTTTCGTCTCGGAGAGTCTGAATCCTCAGCAACAGTTATAGGGAAGGCTATCAAGGAATATTGCCAAGAAGTGAACAAACCATGTCTGACTGATATCCGACTTGTATGTGGCGACGACAACTCTGCTAAAGCAATGAGCAAGGCTTTGAAGAAAATGATGGCGCCTGGGTCTAAGACTTCAAAGTTCTCAAACTTCATGAAATTGTCTTTCATACAAAGCAAGAAGCAAGAAACCAACAAAGAACTCAGCGCATCCAATGAGCAAACTAATGCTGCCGTGACCACAATAATACCAGACCCAACAGGCAGCACAGGGATAATTTTTACAACTCAAGAAGGTGTACGAGTTTCTTTAATAAAAGGAAACATTGCAGAACAGAAGGTAAATTATGGTGAAAATAATGATATATTTTTAATAAAGATAACTAATTCAAAAAGGCTCAATACAACCATAAATAAATAACAAATACTTTTTGGGGGGTCAGACACTTGAGGAAACCCATCACTGTGCTTAAGAGTATCCAAACCAAGCTGAGATTTCCATGAATCCCACCTACATATGCAAATTCTAGAGATAGATTGTTGGAATGGAATGTGCGCTCTCTCCTTAATCCTTGCATTTGATATAAATCTTTTAATGCCAGGAAGAAGTCTCAAAGCGCTTCACAGGATTTTACTGTAAAATGCAGTGACTGTGTATTTGGAGCCAAACATGATAATAGTAATCCTTGCATTTAATATAGTGACTTATCATGTCTTCGAGCCGCCTCAAAACAGAATACACTGTAAAGTGAATTGATTGTATATTTTGTGGGCGAAACGCGGCAGGCAATTGCGCACAGCAGTGTCCCACAAACAGACATGGATTGAAGTGACCAAATTAGTGGTTACTCGATCCAAGTTATTGGTCACGCATGTTAGCCAATTTGCGGATCCCATAAAAAAAATCATGAAGTGATTGACCAATTTTATCTGGAGGGATTGTTGACCAGGACCTTGGGAGAAACTGTTCACTCTTTGCTTTCCGAGGAAAGAAAGCCTAATTCCTGACAACCTTTCTTTTACAGGTTGACGCCATTGTGAACACTGTGTCACATGATATGAATCTTTCATACGGAGCTGCGTCTAAAGCGATTGTGCTAAAGGCTGGGGATCAGTTACAAGTGAACACAAACAATGCCAAAGGGTCCACAACATTTAAGTCTGGAGATGTTTTACCCGTCAGCACTGCAGGGTGCAAATTACATTGCCAGACAGTTTACAATACCATTTGTTGCCAGTGGAGCAAAGCTCAAGATTCTAAACCTGAAAATGTAAGTGTCCTTATTGCGGTTGTGTTTCCTATTCAATATAAGTTTCAATTCCACTGATTTATGAAAATGCTATCTTCTATAAAGCTGAACTTGAAAAAGCTTCTCGTTGCAACTCCCTTCTTGCTTGAGTAATATTTTTAATTGATCACTTTGGGAAGACGCCCTAAAGGCACTTAACCGTAACGGCCGTGAGCTGCTGGTGGGAGCTGAAGTATAATAATGATCCTTGCATTTCAAATAATGCCTTATCATGCGGCTGAAACGTCCTGAAGTGCTTCACAGGTTTTACTATAAAGTATAGTATCTATGCATTTGTAGGCGAACTCTAACATAACATCATTATGTGTATTCATGTTTTTCACAATAGGTGCTTGAAACAATAATCCAAAAATGCCTGGAAAATGCGCATAAAAGTCAATACAAATCAATCAGCTTTCCTGCTATCGGTACGGGAAATCTGTCATTTCCAAAAGATCTGGTAGCACAAACATTTCTTGAGGAAATAAAGAAATTCAGCAAAGCAAATTCATCCTCTTCACTTAACGAAGTGAATTTGGTCATATATGAGAAGGATCTGGAATGTTATCAGGTATGCATGTCTGTGTTTTTCTGGTATAAGTAATAGTATTGCTGTTGCATGCAATATATTCATTTTTATTGTTACAATTTAATTTTTTTTAATAAAGATTGCCTTTATCAGCAATAACATTTAAAGATCAACTATATGAAGTACTTTAAATGGGTAAATTATGTTTACATTTCAATGCTGGTATTTATCATATAAAATGCCTTCAAATGTTTGATTCCACTTTAAAAGGAAAACATATAAGATATCTTGAACCTTTGCAGGCGTTTGAAGATGAAATGTTGATAACTTCAGGAATGCCGGCCAATGAACTGCTCATCGTAAGAGAAGAGAGGAACATCAGAAATGTGCATCCACCAACAGGAACCACAAAAGGTACAAATAAAAACTTTGATATCAAACTCTACATTGAGTCTTTGATCGAAAACGCTTTCTTCTACCTCTGGAACATTTTCTTCCAATGCCCTTTCTTTATTCTTTATTCACAACCCAATTGCAATCTTTATCTGTTATCACAGGTAATTGTCAATTGCAGCCATTTTGTTCAGGCCGATCACAGCAGTTGTTTGTGCCAGCAGGGCCCCAGACAGCAGCAGCAACAACAACAATTTACACTTATTTAGCGCCCTCCACGCCGGGCGGCAGTGGTGGGAATGATTAATCGGTAATTGACCCACTGCTCACAAATGCACTGAAAAATCAGCTATTTCACCTCATTATAATGCGATATTGCATTTTATGGTTCCCCAAAACGAGGCCTCACTGTATAATAATGTCCCATTCACCATATATATCTCTGACAATGCAGTGTTACCCCAGTAATACACTGAAGTGCCAGCCTAGACAATGAGCTCAAGTACCGATGTCGGGCTTGATCCCACGATCTTCTAACCTACAACAACCAACAAATTACACTTGTATAGGGTCCTTCACATCAGAAAGACATCCCAGGGGGCTGGACAGGCCGGGTTTTTTGGACCCAGGCTGGGAGTTGGGGTCAGGAAGGTTGGAGGACAGGGCGGTGGGGAGGGTGGCTGAAGGCACAGGTTGAAGAGGAAGGTCTTTAGACGGAACTTGAAGGAGGCAAGAGAGGGCATGAGGGGGAGGGATTGCGGGATAGAGTTCCAGAATGTGGGGGGTGGGCAGAGATGTTGAATGCCTGACCAGCAATGGTGGGGCGGGAAGTGTGGAGGAGCTGAAGAAAGCCGGTGTCTGCTGAGCGGAAGGAGCGGACAGAATGATATGGGGTTAGGAGGTCGGAGAGGTAGCAAGACCGTGGAGGGCTTTGAAGGTGAGAACGAGGGTTTGTACTCGATTCTCTGAGGGATGGGGAGCCAGTGAAACCGGGCAAGAATGGGAGTGATTGGTTCAAACCTAGAGGCAAAACCAGTAATAACTGAGCCAAATTGACAGCATGTAAATCAGCTATGTATTGTTGGGATATTTTTTTTGTGGGTTTGACATGCTATGATATTTATTGGTTTCATTTCTGTTGTATATCCAGAGCAGGTTTTCAATTCACCGGTTCCTTCTGTTACCATACCCATTGAGGACATAACTATTGAAGTATCATGCAAAAAGACTAAAACAATATATGCAGATGCAGAAGTGGTGCTCAGGAGTGACTCCAAAGGTGAGGTCAACTTTTAATTTACTTAATTGTTTTCTGAATCCATTAATGTTACAGAGGTATAAGCAATTTCATTTCATTTCTTACAGTGAAAGGAACTGATGACATTAAGATAACAAAGGAAGGATCAACATTTTTGGTTTATTGTCGAATCAAACCTCAAGCAGACTTGGCAAATATTTTGTTTAAAGCCTTGAGTAAATGTGAAGGCAAATATTTTGGATCCGTGTGTATCCCTGTTCCTCAATACATTCTTTCAGGCAAGTATTTGTATTCTATGTTTAATAGAGTGCTTTAAGTCATATCATGATCCAGCAACTGTCCTGCCAGCCTTTGGAATTCGCTCCTCCAGCCTTCAATCACGCTATCGGCCTTTAAATCCTGCTTAAACACCTATTTCTTCGACATGCCTGCGGTCACCTCTCCTTATAATAATCTTTGCATTTGATCACAACAGCACTTTATCATATCTTTAAGACGTCTCAAAGCGCTTCACCAAATATACTGTAAAGTGACTTGATAGTATATTTTGTGGGCGAAACGCAGCAGCCAATCGCGCACAGCAGTATCCCATAAACAGTCATCGATTGAGTGACCAAATTATTTTAATCTATTTTGAAGGAATTATTACCTCCGGAAAAGCAATCGACTAACAACCGGGTTCCTACTTACTGCTAAGTAAACAGAGGTGTGTGGAGTAAGGAAACTTGCCCAACGTTTCGCCCTGCCGGGGAATCAAACCCATGTTCTCTTGCTTGCGAGACGAGTGCTCTAACTGCTGAGCTACAGGACTCCTTGCTTGGCTTCTGACTTTGTCGCGGTGCGCAAACTAGTTGCTGCATTCACTTACCAAATACACAGTCAGTATGCTACTGTAATTCCTATGCAGCACTTTGAGATATCTCAGACACAGCGTGGTTGCGTGATGAGGGGCTAAATCAAATACTAGGATTATTATAAGGAACCCAGGAAATGAAATTTGAAGTCAACTCGTGATTTGTAAATTTCAGCTGATTTGGATTTAATTGTTTGGTGATTTTTTTCAACAGGAAAGATGCCAGACCGGGTAAAATCATTCGCTGTGGCAGTTTTGGATGCTGTTTATCAATTCACAGAAACAAAGCACACATCACTTACACAAGTAACAGTGAGTGATTGCTCACCTGAATATGTGAAAGTATTTGAAGAGCTGAAGAAAATCAAAGTAGAAAAGAGTGGCTTGGCGTCCGCAATGTCAAGTATGTTAATTCTTAAGATATAAACAGTGAAGGGAAGGATATTTGTACAATAACAATTTGCATTTATATAGTGCCCTTCATGAGGGGTAGCGTCCCAGAGAGCTTGAGAGTGGCAGAGTCTGACACCGGGTGGGGAGGGAGGTGGCAAGACGGAGGGATTGAGAGAGAGTTTCAATAATGTGATAAGACAAGGTCAAATGCAAGGATTATTATTATTATCAACTGGATTTGGCTGTGAATCCACTGGAGTCCAAGTTATAAAATGCCAACTGAGGAAGCTGTTGTCAAGTAAAATAGGATTAATTAACTATTTGCCATAGCTGATGTATGCTAAAAAAAGTTATGAGGTTTTGCATTAAATCACATTGATTCTTGGAATTAGTTTATTGGTTTATTCGGTTATATTGGATTTGAATGTTAAGTTCTTTCTTTGCTTCGCAGAATTGTATTCTTGGGTGAGTGGAAGCCAAGTGCCTGATGATAACCCTGAGGTGGACGAGTACGCATTCAAGCCAGTGGTCTTTCAATTCTACTTCACAAATAATGGAAATATTGACCAAGCTTGGGATGATATTCAGAAGTTAGTGAATAAAGAACAACTGGAAAAAAAAATACCGCTCAGTGTATCCCATGAAAAATTTACTGTTGATGATATTGAAGAAATAATGGAGTCTTGCAGAGTTATGCATGTATCAGTCACCATCCACAAAACACACATATATTTGTCTGGATGTATAACTGATGTATGCTCTGCTCAGGATACTATTTTTAACGTGTGCCAAAAGATAGGAAAAAGAGAAATTATGTTACGTGAAGAAATGTTTCTCATGGAAAAAGTGTGTTGGAAATTCAAGATGGAAAATCATTGGGACAAGTTCAATCCAACTATGAATGCCCATATTGAAAAGGCTTTCAATAAAAGAGAAAATGAAGTAAAAGTAGAGACAGAAGAAGGATGCTTTTTTGTGTTTGACTTCAAAAACAACATGTGCACAGATGACGAGGGAGTCTCTGTTCGCATATGTCGAGCATGTCCTGCAGGTAAGGAACTGACATTTATTCATTCTCTGAGTTTCTTGAGTTTTGCCTTTTTAATCCTAGTGAGAAATGCTTAACCTGCTGGAGTTCCACCCATAAGCGTATGCTGACAAGAGCAATGTGGTATCATGACCTTAACAGACATTTCGTCTAACTATTTTCGGTCACGACAACGTGCAGTAATCCTGCGAAACGCTTTGGGATGTCCTCCCAACGGGAAAGGCGCAACACCAAATTTAAGGATTATATATAACAGTCCATCTTCATTTCAGATGACATCCTTCCAGACAACTGGGAGGATGTAGAAGACCAAACCAAATTCTCTGAAGTACTTCTGAAACCTGACTCCTCAGAATATAAAGAAGTAGCTGATGCTTTTTCGCAAACCTTAGGAGATCAAGCAAATCTGCCAACATTCAAAATTGACAGTGTAAGTCTAAATCTTTTCTGAACATACAGGCATAACGGAAATGTTGAATGTTACTGATATTACAGTTGCATAAAGATAAATTATGATGGCTATCTTATTAAGTGGAAATATCCAGGGCGGAAATCGATGAATGAAGAAAGGTTTATTGAATGGGAATATTCCAAATCTTGAGCTGAGGTAATGGTATATGTCACCATCTGTCCCATCTCCTCTCCTATCACAGGACCCTTCTTGTTATAATCACAAATACCCTACCTTCCCCTGCTATTTCTCCTGTGCTCCTGTTGTCAATCCTGTTGATCCACAGCTGTCCTCCCTACCCCACAGCCGATCCCTGACCAGGACCATTTTCCTGTCAAGCACTTTGGGAAGCTACCATACATGAGAGGCACTATGTAATTGCAAGTTGTTGTTGTTGTTGTTGTACGCATCGACTTCAAACATTTCCTTCTCCAACAAGACTCTCCATCCATGAACTCATCTTGGATAAGTACATCCTTGATCTCACTGAGATTCAGCTGACCCCTCTCCCTCATCAAGGCCACTCTCAAGACTCCCTCATCAAGACTGATAACATCTTGCTTCTGGCTCCAACTTCTACAATTTCTTGGCCTCTCTCTCTCTCTCCAACTCACTGAATGTGCAATCTTGGCATTCAGTTTGACTCAGCTCATTTCCTCCCTCACATCCATTTTATAATCCTGACCACTTTTCTGCTTTTTGCCGCATCACCCACCTCAGTCTTATCTGCCACATTTTTTACCTCAAAGGGTCGCCCAATACCCAAGGTGAAAAATGTTGTCTTTTAAAGCAGTGAGTTCTGGAGATTGGGAGCATAGTGGCTGAAAGCACATGCGCCAGTGGTGGAGCGGAAGGTTTGAGGGATGTGCAGAAGGCCCGAGCCAGCTGAGGGATTGGGCGGGTAGAGAAATGGGTTGCGAGCAGGTTGGAGAGGTAGGGTTAGAGCTAACTGTGAGTAAAACTAAAACGTCAACTGTAAAAAGTGATAACTTGAGATAAGTGAAAAGACTAAAAAAATGGTTTCAGAATAACCTGATTTTTGTTTTCTGAAATGTGTATCAGGAGTCTATCAATTAGATTAAGATAGTTTTGTGTAGAATAGACCAGTAGAGACTGCAACCAAGCATCAACTTTTCAGTTCAGGGTTTACTACACTTGCAGTTTCTATATTTGATGATCTATTTTTAGTTGGATATTCAGATATGAAAATAATCAATGTTTGTGAATGACAACAGATCAAACGGATCCAGAATCCCACTCTTTGGCGTCTGTATGTTGCAAAAAGAAACGAAATGAACAGACTTGCACCACTAACTCAGAATGAAAAAATCCTGTACCATGGAACATGCTCAGATGTGTGCGCTAAAATCAATGCAGATGGTTTCAATAGAAGCTACTCTGGAGCAAATGGTAAGTACAACATACGCCGACATTCAATAGCTGTGATTATGACTATCCTCCTTGGTGGGGGGGGGGGGGGGGGGGGGTGGGGTGGGGGAAGCTTGGTCTCCTTTGAGCTAAACCGACTCCAAGGTGACATGTTTGACGATGGAATGTCAGAATCAAAACTGCCCTCTGTGGCTCAGTGTTCCACTTTCTTCAACCGTGTCTTCAGCTCCCCTCTCGACTCTCTACCCCCTCCTCGCTCCCTCCCCTCACCCTGACCATTTCCCCTCTGCTCGGGTCCCGACCCAATGGTCCAGCGCCTAGGGATGTCCTCCCGATGTGAAAGGCGCTCTATAAATGCAATCTTGTTGTTGTTGTTGTGACTAAGCCATTATGTGACCACGTTATAGAGAATGATCCCATTTAGAATGCTCTGGATAACCTAAAGGAATTTAATGTGGAGATGTATTTGGCAATTTGTACTGGTGCTCAATAGATATCCATTGGCATTTCATCAAGAATATCAATTATTTAATCTGTGAAGTGACAATAGCCTTGTTTCTTGTACATAGCACAATGGACAGGCAGTATCCTATGTTTTAGTGCTTAGCTTGCAGGAAGTGGGATCAGGAACGCCCAACAGACCCAAAAGTGGGGCATTTTTAATGCAGATCTTCGGTACACCAGTTGCCATTTGTAAGTCCATATATGACTGAACTCTATGCATGCAGTAAATTCCTGGCAACTGAGTATCAACCATTTTTTCCCTTTTCAGCTGTTTTTTATGGAGATGGAACATATTTTGCAATAAATGCAAGATATTCTGCAAGCGACCAGTATTCGAAGCCTGATGCAAAAGGATTCAAACTCATCTACAGAGCGAGAGTTTTAACTGGAGAGTATGGTCAGGGGCAGAAAGGCCTGAAGGAGCCTCCGCTCAAAAATCAACAAGGAGGCCCAGACCGCTATGACAGTGTCACAGATCAATTACAATCTCCCAGTATGTTTGTTGTGTTTCAGGACAATCAAGCCTATCCAGAGTATCTCATTCAGTTTCTTACTAAATAAGTGAGATTACAGAATTGCTGAAGATATAGCTGCACTGGAACAAACAGGCTAACATAATAGTGTCCCTGAAAGAAAAAACTTTGTGTGTTATAGTTTATTAAAAATATAAATTACAATATTGAAAAGAAAGCACATGGATAGTGTACCCTTTGTATCTCTCCAAGGGCTTTCGTCAAATTGGTTGTAATGTGCTTAACTATATTTCAGATTATGGTTAGCATTAAGAGATGTGCAGTTTTAATGTTTTGCAAGTCATGCGGTGCCTCTTCTGATTTGAAAACAGAAGATGTGGTGAAATCATATTGTTCAAAGTTTATTAGCTAACAATTGCACAAATTACCCCAAGGCTACTTTAAGAATGTATTTGGATTTATTTGTTGCTTTTTATAGATGTTGCTCGTGACAATTTATTGCAGTTTTCTTACCAATGGCACAGCTCAGTTCTCCAGTTTAGATTGCTTTTGCATAAGATTTTCCCCACAAATTAGAGTAATCTTGTAATCTCACTGCACGTCAAATTAAAGCAACCAACTGATGTAACACAATTTGCTTCCTAAATAAAATATTAAACTACTTACGTGGTATTTTCCCATTTCTGTATATCTAACATAGCGGCAGCAACAATTTTTGCCTCTCCATATGATGGAACCACATGGAATACCGCATTGTCACAGGTGCCGTCCTTCGAATGACATATTAAACTGAAGGTTCATCTGCAGATTTAGGTGAACATTAAAGATGCCATGTCATGACTCAAAGAGAAGGGATTTTCTCCCAGTGGCCAACAATCCTCCAGATAAAACTGTTCATTGCTGGTTGTGGGAGACTGCTGTGCGCAAATTGCCACCTTCACCCGATAACACATTTGCTATACTTTACAATAAAATCTTGTGAAGCATTTCAAGATGTTTGGCAACATGATAATGAGCTATATGCAAAGGTTTTTACATTGAACAGGTGTAATTTTGTGATCCTCATGTGTTGCCCTCACTGCCAATAGTTCCCAGCGACAGATCACAAGATTAGCCCCAGTGAAGAAGACCCCTTGGGCCATCTGATCTCATCCCTCCAGAATACCCAGCTAACCGTTCCCTACCACCCACTGCCCGCCCCCCCCCCCACCCCTAACCCCACCCCCCCACCCCCAACAACTCACACAAAAATATCCAATATATGGTGCTGGTTCAGTTCCGAAATGACTGAGGAAGAAAGACTCATCAGAAGTCAGGTGGGAGCAGGGGAAAGTGGGTTCAGTCCAAAACCTGTTAAAGAAAGTAAATCGTAATTGTCCTAACAAACATGATCACCTCACAAACGGCACATCACTCACAATCTATAAATCTATTATAGAATACTTATATTCTATAAGTATTCAATTATTCAAACGCACAAACCAATAGAAGTATAGAACTCTATTGTGTTTTTCATGAAGGGGAATAGCTACTTGAAAATAACTCCAGGTTAGAGTTTCAAATGTGTGCCTTGGAAATTTCCTCACGCCTGGTATAGAGTATGGAATGGAATATGTACGTTCTCGAGAGCTGTGTTCTGCTTACCTGATTCCAGAAAGTATCAGACACAGGTTGGCAAGAGGCAAGGCTTGGGGACCCCAGCTGTTATTAGATTAAATGCGCAATTGGCTGCCGCGTTTAGCCCACAAAATACAGTCACTACACTTTACAGTATATTCTGTGAAGCTCTTTGAGACATCTTGAAGACGTGATAAGGCGCTATATCAAATGCAAGAATTATTGTATTATTATTTTAAATGTTGGGCTTGACTTGTAATGTTCAAGGTAGCCAAGTGGGAAGAATCCCTGCTCCCAGGGTCTGCCTCTCCAAGTCCTTCCGATGAGCCAGGCTGGCTGGACTGTTAACAACAACTTGTATTTATATAATGCCCATCATGCGGGGCAGCATCTCGGAGCGCTTAACAGTGACGGAGCCTGACGCCAACCCGGGAGGGAAGGAGGAGGGGAGCAAAAACACAGTTGAAGAGGAAGATCTTCAGTCTTGAGCTAAAAGTGATGGCAAAACTGAGAGATTGGGGAAAGTTCCAAAGCATTGTGGCTTGTGGCTGAAAGCTTGGCCGCCGATGATAAGAGCGGAAAGGTTGAGGTTCAAGGAGGAGGTCAGAGACAGCCGAGGTAGTGGAATTGGGAGAAATCAGGTCAGAAAGGTAGGGAGTGGCCAGGACGTGAAGGGATTTCTAGATATGTGACAGGTTCTTGAAATTGATCCATTCTGTGATAGGTAGTCAGTGGAGTCTGGCGAGGACTGGTGTTATGGGGGTATGGAGTTTAGTGTGGGTGAGTATACAGGCGGTGGAGTTCTACCAATTGTAGTTTGTGGACCATGGAGCTGGGGAGACCGTCGAGGTAGGCATTCGAATCGTCGAGGCAGAAGGTAACAAATTTGGCTGCGTTGGTGGTGAGGTATTGTCAACAGTGTCCTGGAGTACTGCAGCCCTGCCTGGCTCAGGAACCAAACACTTCATTCTGCAAACTACTGAGAACCCAATTCTGACAGGCATATCAACTTGAATTCCACTTGAAGCCATTTCAGTCCAAGGAGATCCCGTCCACCATTAGAGGATGACTACAATCAGGTGGCGGCATTAAGTAAAATACAAACTACATTTCAAACCATTTAGTACTGTAATTACAAAAGAAAAACAAATATATTTTTAAATATTTTAATGACTGTACATGATCTTTTGCATATACAGCTGATATACAGGACAGAATATCAAGCACTGGAAGCTGCTTTATTCAGCAGAAACGAAAAATTACATTACATTTAAAGACACCAGGGCTAGAAAATTTGAAGATTTCCAAACAATGATAAAAGAACTTTGGTTTATTTTTTCTTCCTCGTCATAATTCCTCTGCTCTTCTGACACTATTTGAAAGCAGTTTCACGACGTAAGCAATCATCTCATGCAAGCCAATGCACACACAGCCCAAAATTGTCCCATTGCACACCCCGGGCAACTTGTAGAGTGACAGACAGATTGGTTTAAAGCGTAGCAAACCATGTTTTCAGTTGTCCTATTGGTAGCTGATCCATCTATTTGTACAAAAAAAATTGCATCCCGTTTTGGCAATCCCAACACATCAAATGTTTGGGTTGTGCAAATATACAGACAAGAGATTGCCACCATCATGAGGGGTAAAAACACAGAAGTACCTACCATACTGCTGAACTCCAGGTGTAACCTGGAATCTTAGTCTTGTAACAAGATGGACAACAAATATATTTCATTCTGCAGCATCGACAGTTCTCCAAAAACAAGTGACATAAATACAACCATGCTTATAAAATAATTCTGAAGTCTAACTATCCCCAAGTGTTAATATAAATTGGTTTCCATAATATTTCAATATTTCATATTTAAGGCACAATAATACCTGCGTGAAGCATACCTTGAATAGACTTCACTGACCACCACGTTCAGTGATTTAGTCTAGGGCCAAATGCAATTATCAACATTACATCAACTAACACAAGTCACTTGATGCACTGGTCAGTGAAATACAAGCAGAGAAATCTTCACTATGATTTAGTATTGACACAGCAAACAGTTTATCACACAGCAACTTGTGCACTCAAGAAAGTGTAGGATTATGAATCGAGTCTTGATTTTCTGTAGTGGACAACTAGGAATTCTCACAATGTTCTTTGCTCTTACACACATGTGTGTGTGAGAATGTTAATAAATGCCAAGGGACAATCCTCAGTGTATTATAAAAGTAACCAACAAAAACTATTGCACAATGATAGCACAAAGTAGACAACGGGCTTCAAAAAAGGGGCTCCTTTCCATTTTTTTTGTAATAAATGTAGTCCTCACGTGTTTAAAAAAACTGTTGCGACTATCGTTTAGGTTAAATATGAAAGTTAACTAGAATTAAATCAGAGTTAAATAAATGATTTACATAGAAAAATTCCACTGATCGGTACTGATATTGGAAGATATGAGTTGGGAATGGGATTATCCCTATGTAAGATTTACTCCACTGTAAGTGCACACCGCCAGTTAGTCAAATTTCACCCCAAAAAGTGTGCCAGAACTGCCAGCAACTAACATTGGGTTCGACCTTTGACGCAATAAGGAGTTATAAACTACCTCTTCTGTACTTCTGTCCAGGGACATTTGAGAGTGATGGATATGTTTCATTGATAATTCAGAAATATTGCTGCGCTACTCAACATTTAGAGCTTGCAAATACACATTCCGTTTCAGAAAAATATAATATAAAGTATTTCAAAAGTTAATAAGGGTATGAGATTCAGTTAAGAGTTCTGACAATTATACCGCACCGATTAAGAACTGTACTTAGCCAGTATAATTGTCTTCATACCACAGAACATTTTAAATGTCCAAAATTAAAAAGGAGGAATTGCCGCTAGTAAGCTTTTAGAGCTGGTTTGAGCTCGCCATCCGATATTTTAGGGCTTCATCCAATTTTCAGGTACTTAATACCCACCTAACTCTGCATATCTACATCTAAAACAGAGTCCATTATCTGATACATAGCTGACATTAGAATTCGATGAAGCAGTTTCAAATTATTTGTACAATAAGCAGTTTTTATTTGGACTGAAAACAGCCAGTGCCACCACACAGGAATCATTAACTTCCTGGAAGTTAGTTTGTGCTCCAGAGAATGGTACGAAATGGACTCTTTTCTGCAATTTCTCACAAAGCTGGTTCTCAGGGAGAACATCAGAGAGGCACTAAACTGATGCTAATGGCTCCACAGAGGGAAGTAAGGCTTAGAACAAGGACTCATCACATTGGGAACACCTCCCATTGGGCTCATTTAAGAATAGCATTCTCTATCTTTCCTACGATAAGGAGATCTAAAGGGAAAGAAATCACGTTAAAAAGCCCACATCTCCATGAACAAAGGGCAAAAAGTAAAATAGTTAACCTACTTTGAACAGTTGTAGAGATCATTCTAAAGAGCCTGGAGGAAAGGGGGATGTAAATTGTGAATCATCTCCTCACTATTTGCATCTGTTATTTCACTGGGAAACACATCGTGTGACTTGTGTTAAAGATGGCGGGCAGAAAAGCCGAAAGATTTACACAATAACGCCGCTGTCTAAATGTATAACTATTCACTGCAAGACCACTATAAGAAGCATCAACTGATTTGTCAATGAGACATGCACATATCGGTACTTGTATGAATGGAAGATTCCCCCTTCTGCATCCTTCACAAACATCTAATATCACCTACTCAGCATTTAAAAGTTTCATAATCACATTGACCATATTTACAGGTAACCTTGATCAACATACCTCTCGAGCTGTAGTTTACAGGCTTATATAGTGAAGACATTTTCCTCGACCAAACAAAAGTACAGCATGTACAGACACCACAGGTTATCTAAACAAGTCACACCAGTAATTGTTTTGTTTATATATATGTATATAAAAATGTAAAGTAAAAACTTACTTCACTGATAAAAGTTTTAAAAATTAAATATGCGTAAAGCAGTGACAAAATAAGTAAAATATGTACTAGTAGGTGAGAGTTTGTGTGTAAAACGAGGTGCATTTCATTGGCACATGTGCAAAGCTTTAGATGTGATGCTGGTGCTCCTGGGATGATTGAAAAAAAAGTACTAAAAAGCCTTGGTGACCGATCTGGATACTGGTTTGTTGCTTTGCCTAGGTCTGGGGCTGGTGCCTAGTGCCGTCCTCTGTTAAATCATACCTGCAGCACAAATACATCCAATTACATATAGGATAGCATACTCAAACATCACCATTCTTTAACACTGAAAGCACAGAGATGTCCTACAACCCTGAGAGATGCTACATAATCACCTACAAAATACAGATACGCATTATAGTAAATCCTGCAAAGCACTTTGAGATGTGGGTTCAAAAAGTTAACACATTTGCTATCTGCCGATAAGTCTATCTATGTAAAGTAAGCAGCTTCCCGGCTCAACTACAGCTACAGAAAGTATTTGGTGACTTGAGACCTGGCTTTGTACTTACCACTGAGTGCTGCCTCGAGCCACTTCTTCTGTCATCTCTATTAGGAGCTGCAATAAAAAAAAATTGTGATTTAATAATGTGTTAAGATATATGATATATATCACTATTAAACAACAATTTAATAGGTTAGAAAGAGATTTTCACAATCCATCCAGGTAGATGTTCAATCTACATAAAAATCACAAATTTGGTTTGGAAGAAGGTCCTTCAGCTCATCCGATCTCATCCCTCCAGATCAACCACCCATCTGATCCCTGAACACAGCATCAAGCTATTTTTTTAAATGAGATCTAGCCTCTTCCACCTTTATTTGCACAAACAAAATGATTGTTGCTAAAATATGGTTTCATTATCAGACTTCGTTTGCGATCTCCGCTGGTGTTCAGTTTCCTTCCAGAGAACAGCGGTTGGTGCAACAACAACAACAACAAGATTCCATTTATAAAGCGCCTTTCACGTCAGGAGGACGTCCCAAGGCGCTGCACAGTTGGGTCATGACCCGAGCAGGGGGGAAATGGTGAGGGTGAGAGGAGGGGAGGGAGCGAGGAGGGGGGAAATTATCAGGGTGAGGGGAGGGATGGGAGGGAGCGAGAAGGGGGGAAATGGTCAGGGTGAGGGGAGGGAAGGGAGGGAGGGAGCGAGGAGGGGGAAGAGAGTCGAGAGGGGAGCTGAAGGCTCGGTCAAAGAGAAAGGTTTTGAGACCGGCCTTGAAGGAGGAAAGGGAGGAGGCGGCGAAGGCACTGGGGGATAGAGTTCCAGAGCCTGGGGGCTGAGAGGCTGAAGGCCCGACCACCAATGGTAGGGCGATTGGGGCGGGGGACGTGGTGCATGCGCCGACGTGCATTGAATTGGAAACCTGTTCCTTTCTTAAGTGGGAGCATAGAATGAGAAAATAAATTAACGCCGAAGTCCAGCGTTAAATTGAAACAAACAACTGTAAACATATCAGTAAAAAAGTGTATCTCACATGATAAGGGCCCCTCGCACATGAGCTGGGAGGAGGCCAGGGTTTCGGGATGACTTTTCTGGGGATTCTGCTCCATTAGCTTTGGGGCTTCAGCATTTGTCGATACAGGAGATGGAGTGGGTGGGGGTGATAACTATGATATAGCAGGCTTTGTCTGGCCATGAAGAGTGCAGGCTTGTGAGGCCCTTTCTTGTTCCATGGTGTCTTACATAGCAACACAGGAAAACAGGAGGAGGCCATTCTGCCCATCGAGCCTGTTTGTCCTTATTTATTAGATCCTGACAAATCATTTAATCCCAATGCCCCTACTTTTTTCATAGACAAGCCCCTCCCCTTAATTTCTAAACCAAAGTTATCTTCCTATATCTTTTAGACATCCCCATTAATTCCACCACTACAGTTTTCTAGTGTGTCTGGTCCACTTGAGAGCTCTCTTGCATCTGACTCAGAAGGTTGTGGGTTCAAGCCCCACGTAAGGACTTGAAACTCATATAGTCTCCAGCGCAGTGTTGGGCATGGGCAGTCTGCCATGAGGTATCCCTGTTTGGATGAGATTTTAAACTGAGGTCCATTCTACCTGCCCAGGTGGACATTAAAGATACTATTTGAAAAGAGAGTGGAGTTTCTCCTGGTGCCCTGACCAACCAATCCCCAAATAAAAGGAATCACTCACTCCATGGCTGTTTGTGGGACATTGCTCTGAGCAAATTAGCTACCGCATTTGCCCACAAAATGCACATACTTTAAAGTATATCCTGTGAAGCGATTTGAGATATCTCTATTCTGCCCATCTACACGGCAAATTTTGACCCATATACATCAATCTATGCAGGAAATTCTGAAGAAGTATTTTCCTATTATTAGTGGGGAGTAGTCTCATTAACCTGGTGGGGACAGTCAATAGAAGGTCAAACCTGGATGTGCATTAACTCAGCAAGGGTTAATTTCTTCAAAAGAAGCCACAAATGATCTACGTTAATCCACTGATCTCATACATTTCAGCAATGAAAATCGGAGACTTTTTGGGGGTGAGGGGGACGTGGGGGGGAGGGGTTAGTAGGGTGTCTGACACATATGGAAACTCATCACCGTACTTAAGAGAATCCAAACCAAACTGAGATTTCCATTTATCCCACCTCACATGGAAAGCCCAGAGATAGATTGTTGGAATGGAATGCACACACTCTCCCTGGAGGGACCCATCCTGCTTACCTAATTCCGAAAAATACTAGGCGTAGGTTGGCAAGGGCCAAGGTTTGAGTGTGCGTTGTAAATGAAAATAAAATAGAATAAAATAAGGGAAAGAATGTGAGAACGTGACACTTACCTTTCCGAGCAGCCCTTTGTCTCTGGACAGGAAGCCACCGCTGTTCTTCACAGCTACATCCAGAGTTCGTTTTTGGACCTCTGCCTGTGATACGCTGAACTCAAACCTACAAAAGAAACAATCTTTAGCAGGGATTCTGTGATACCAATCACCCTCCTACCGCCATCACTAGATCACGCAAAGTCCCATTCCAACTGAAGAATTTGCATAGAATGTACAGCAAGGTATCAAGTTATTTGGCCCAACTCGTCTATGTCAGTGTTGATATTCCACACGAGTCTCCATCCACTCTTTACTTCCTCCCACACCTTTCTCCCTCGTGTGTACATATATCATTCACCAAATGTGTGGGATGTTGCTGTGTGCAAATTGCCTTTACATTAGCCTACAAAATACACAGTCATTGCACTTTACGTTACATTTACAAAGCGCTTTAGGACATCCTCCTGACATGAAATGCGCTATGCCTAACGTAAGGATTATTATTACTATCTAGTTTCATCTTCACTACAGCTACAGTATCTACGTTGACCACCGATTCTCACTATCTTCTGCGTGAAGGAGTTCCTCCTAAATTCTCTTGTAGACTCTTTGTATCTTATGGTTGTGTCCCCTGGTTACAGAGTGGAAACAGTCTATATATGTTAACCTTATCATACTCTTTTACAATTTTAAACACTTCTATTTGGCCCCCTCTTAAACGTCTTTCCTTTACGTCTCTAGCGAAAAAAGGCCTAACAACAACAATTACATTCGTACAGCGCCTTCCACGTCGGGAGGATGTAACTAGACCTTCCTGACTGAAGCAACCTGCCAGGCTTGGTATCATCTTTGTAAACCTTTAGCATTTGTTGCGAGAAGCCTTCTTAACAGGCAGCAATTGATAACAGTGGAAGAATGCTAGGCAAGTGTGCTGCATTCTATGTTGGCCAGGCACCAATGTCTCCGATGAGAATTTAATAATTCTCCAGGTGTAGGAGATTAAAATTGGGTGGCATCACGGTCTCATTGTAGACCGTAAGACCATTCAACATGAGATTTTATCAAGGATAGAGGAGAGACAGCAACAACAATAACAACTGATATTGATATAATGCCTTTCATACTATGAACATCTCAAAGCGCTTTACAGAGATGATGCTGGAACTGAGCAGGGAGGGTAGGGAAAGACCAATAACTGGAGGTGCAGTGAAAGAGGTGGGTTTCAGGAGGGTTTTAAAGAGAGGGGTAAGGTGGTTGGATTCTGAGAGGGAGATTCAGAGAGTAAGGGCATAGCAGCTGAAAGCTCGATCACCAATGATGGGGAGATCGGGGGCAGGGAATGTGGTGCAGACCAGAGTTTGCTGAACAGAGTGAAAAGATCCCAGAAAATGTGTGTGTGGGGTGGGGGGAAGGCATCTAGCAAATTATAGTTGAGGGTGAAGATCCTTATTTCGAACCAGTGATATTACGGATATATTTCTGTATTCAAATATATGAATATACACATGTGCACATACATACGTATGCATAACCTAGTTGCCAAACTTATAGAAAGACGCATTGACTAAAAGTAAGAAAGGCAGATTCATACCTTTCACTGTTACTCTCTGAAAGTTTCAAAATATTATTAGAAAAGTAAAACGAATGACTGTACTGTGATATCCAGGGGGCGAAATGAGAAATTCAAAACGCTGTGATACAGTGGAACCCCATTATAAAGCATTTTGTTAGAATGTAGATTTGCTTACTGCGAGGTTGGTGTTTGGTCCCTGACAATTACTTACCGGAAATATCAAAAATGCACAGGCTTGGCCATTTCGTCACTCCATCACATGTGCACAGAAAGGCAAAACACTGGCTGGAATTTAGACTCTCTGAGCGTCTGTGCACTGTTATGGCGCTGACTGGCGATTGTGCCTTTATAGCGCTGACCAAGTAGTTGGGATTTTATGGATCTGACCTTTCCACATTATTATGGGGCTCCGCTCTTTTTTCAGGTAACATAAGTAGATTTGCTTTTACAACAGTACAAAAAATTTACATTTACACAGCGTCTTTCGTATCAAGGGGAAAGTCCCAAGGTGCTCCACAGTCCTGGCTTGGCACCCGAGCTGAGGGTGGGAGCCGAGGGGGTGGGGAGGGAAAGGATGACCAAAGGCGCAGTCAAAGTAGACCTTGAACCAAACCTTGAAAGAAGTGGGGGGAGGGAGCGCATTGGAGGGTCTCCGGGATGGAGTTCCAGAAAATAGGGCAGAAAGATCAATTGACGATGGTGGGCGGGGATCATGAAACAGGCCAATGCCCGCTCAGCAAAGGGAGCAGCCAGTTTGGTACCTACGTTTCGTCGTACACTGGATTTAACTGTTTCTTCAGCACTGATGTTTTTCTCCTTCCTGATCTTCGCTTGTCGGGCAGTAAGTACAACCGGGCATAGGGGTCTGACCCATCCTCAGAGAAAGCTATTAGATTACTGCGGAGAAAGACAAAATATCACAATTTAAAACTGCAGGTGAGAGGGCCATCTGGTCCGATTATCCTGGGGTATCCTTTTCTGTATACTGCAGAGAGACACAGAACATTAACACTGAGCATTAGCAATGAGCTGGGCCAATAGAAAACTGCGTAAATATTTGTCAAAATTGCGGGGAAATTTGACCAACCTTGCGGGAAATTGCAGGGGCTGATTGGCGCTATTGAGGTACATTTTTACTGCCAACCTACATTTTTATCACTTATTGATGAAAACTAAACATGAGGAAATAACACATATTAGATTGTTGCTAAATTAGTTTTAGTTTCTTCTTTAACAAAAACTGGGTGGGGGGGAACACCAGGGCAGGCCCAAAGGGGATTGAGTCCTGTCATATTGCTCGAAATCATTGGCTGCCTGGATCTCACAGACCCCTCGTGTCCTTTGATAGTTTGTGATCCTCGCCCATCCCCGAGGTGTCTTTGCATTACCTACCGGCAGCCATGTACAACCACAATGAGCTTGTTTCGTTGAGAGCTGTGCCGAATTGTCAACTGAATCTGACCCAGCGGTGACTGGCCAAGAGTTGTTCCACTGCAATATAACAGAGGCATTTACTGATCATTGCATCTTCCAACAACAGCCACAACAACAACATATTACATTTGCATAGTACTGTCATGTAGGGAGGACGTCCCAAGGCACTGAACAGACAGGGATTTGGACGCGAGCTGGGTCAACATAGATCAAAAGTACACTGATCGCCATCTTTTTCTGCCTATTTGTGTGGATGTTGATGATCCCACGACAATGTCTGAAAAGTGAATGGAGTTTCTCCTCGTGCTCTGGTCAATCAAACCTCCAGCTTAATTGGTTTATGTGGCACCTTGCTGGATAAAAACTGGGTGCTTTGCTTGCCATAAGTACATCAGCACAATTGTCAACAGTGCTTTGCACCACTGATGTCATAGGCACCATATCAAATATAAGGATTATTCTTTTTCGCTGACTTTACATAGAATTTGCAGCAACAACACAGGCCACATTCAGCACAACTCTTGTTTGACTGTTTATACTCCACATGAGCCTCCATCCATCTTATTCCCCCCGTGCGTCTCTATTCTCTCCTCTCTCATGTATTTTCATAATAGGATTTCCCTCTGAAAAGCTAGAAAGCGAAAAATCACTTATTTTAGCATTCCACATACATTAGACTCCCACAGAAGTGAGTGATGGCATTTTGATCCCTGTTAGATGACTTTTAAACTCGGAAGCAACAAAGTTGCCGGGAGTAGAAATTTTTTAAAAATCGGCCTGTTTGTTCCTTTACCAAGCCTTTCCTACAAAATACACGGGAAAATTTTGTGAAGCATTTTGAGACGTCCTCCTGACAACGAAAGGCATTACATGAAATGCAAGAATTATTATTATTATTATTATTATTATAAGGGTCACGTTTACGTCATGTGGTGCCTTTGCTGAATGATCAATTTCTGAGTCCACAAGTGTTACAAATACACATTTATCATTATTTTACGCGATGAATACATAATATTAGTGCGAGAAGCTGCTGTTTCAGGGACTCTGGTATCGATGCCACGGGGAGACAAGGGCCGAGAGCAGCTGCCCAGGCCGATGGCAGGCATCGATACCAGAGTCCCTGAAACAGCAGCTTCCCGCACTAATATTATGTTTAAGCAATTAGCATTCGGACGAAAAACTGACTACCGTTTCTTCCCATGGACCAGGCCGCTGCTGTGGGGACATTTCTACAACACGTGGGGCCTAACTGATCGCAGCATACTCATGCCGTAAGTATTTGTGACCACCAGGTGGCACTCTTGAAGGCACTCTGTTCTGTGGTCATGACCAGTTGCATTGCTGGAGTCACTTATACAATCCCCACTGAGATGGAGCCCGTTTATTAAGAGACACTGCCTACTCAAACGGGGCCATTTCGGTCTCTCCAAGACACATTCGAACACCCACTCGGCCTCTGGGCAGCGAATTAAATGAGGTGTTTTGACTTGCTTTTTGAAAGAGATAAATAGAGAGAGACGCTTTTTTTCTAGAAAAGAAAATACTTCAGCAAACACGGGTTTATTACGGGCACCCTTCATGAGGATCATTCTGTTTAAACCGATATCGACAGCGGCGACTAGGTTTAACCAGTTCCCTGCAGAGGGAATGAAAGCTGTACTTTTGTAGCTGCCGCAGTCTCTGCCGTAACTCCTGCGTGGCGAATGGTAAGGATATATCGGAAGCGATGCTCGGGGTGGGCTCCTTGTTTGAGAGGTGTGACGGCGAGCCTGTTTGACTGGAGCTGGTGTGACCCGATGGTGTTCTCTGCAGACTGGTAGGCCTCTGCGGGCTGGGGGACGAGGCGCTCTCTTTCTCCAGCTTGTCAGTCTTTTCAAGCTTCTTGATGCTTTCGGGGTTTAGTGGGCCCGGGGTGCCTTTGCTTGACTCTGCGGCTGCTGCCCCAGACTGGGCTTTTGGTGTTGGTTTTCGGATATCCTTGCTGTACTTTTTTAACTGAGTGGACGACTGACGATCCGGAGACCGTTCTTGCTTTTCAATACAAAGTATCTACGAAGAACAAGGAAACGGCATTAGAGACAACATATATATTGCTCTATCCTGTAGCTCAGTGGTTAGAGCACTCGTCTCGCAAGCGAGAGACTGGGTTTGATTCCCGGCAGGGCAAAATGTTGGGCAAGTTTCCTTACTCCACACGCCTCTGCTTACTTAATAGTAAGTAGGAACCCACTTGTTAGTCGATTGGCGGATCGCTTTTCCAGGGGTAATAATTCCGTCAATAAAAAATAATAATAAATTGGCCACTTCAATCCACGGCTGTTTGTGGGACACTGCTGTGCGCAATTGGCTGCTGCGTTTCGCCCACAAAACATACAGTCAATTCACTTTTCCAGTCTATTCTGTGAAGCACTTTGAAACGTCTCGAAGATGTGATAAGCTGCTATATCAAATTCAAGGATTATTATTATTATTCTTGCAGCAAGTTATCCAGTGACTGCTGATCAAAACATTTAGAAAGGAAATATCAGCAGATGTCAACAACAACAACTTGCATTAATATAGTGCCCTTCACATGTGCCCTCCTAAAAAATGGTCATTCACTTCTGTCTGTTTGTGTTACACCACTGTATGCAAACTAGCTGCTGTGTTTAACCAAAAATACACGATCATATCATCTTACAGATGATAATGTGCAGAGCTTTGAGACAACCTCTCAATGTAAAATCCTCTCTACCAAACGTAAGGCTTATCATTATTATTATTTTATTGGGCCGCTCCCAGCTAATGCCATCTCAGGTGCAACAACAGAGCAGATTGCTTTTAATAATAATAATAATAATAATCCTTGCATTTCCCAAATGGGAACATTGGTAAGTGGAGGCATATCAGATGCCTCACTCTAACACAAAGGACCCCCCCCCACCCACCCATGTCAATGTAGATCGAACTGAAACGTTCCCAAGAGTTGGCAACGTGGACGTCTGTTTTTCTTAATTAAGAAATCCATTAAGAAATACTGCAAAATTAGAATTCCTATTTGAGCCTGGAGGAACAACACAGGGGAAAAGGGAATATTTTACTTATGCACTGCCAACTGAAACCACTGGACCATTTTACTATCATGCAAAACAAAATAATAGGAGAAAGCAACAGCCCATGAATACATGCTCTTGTGGAGTGAACACACAGTTATTCTGTTATTTCCTGCTCAACAGCTCAGGAAAGTGAGTTTTTAAAACGTTGCTATGAGCGTGTTGAATATAATTTTATGTCATTGAAGCCTATTGTAATGGAATATCCTCAGAATGGTTTTATGCAACCTTGGTGGCCTTACTTTAAACAGGCTGTCAACCAATGAAACAAGTCAGTGGCATATTTGTGACTGAATAACAACAACTTGCATTTATATAGCACCCCTCACGTCCCAGAGCAGTTCTGCAACAGTTCCATCGTTGGTTTGAATTTACCGCCAGCTCATAGGATTGATAATTGGGGAACAAAAGGGATGAGGTTTTCTTTCCCCAAACACAAACTCTTGTTATCGGCTTGGCTCACTCTTTCCTCTGAGAAGGTTTTGATTTCAACTTCTGCGCTGGAGAATTTTGAGCTCATGATATAGGCTGACCCCTCAACAACAACTTGCATTTATATAGTGCCGCTCATGCAAGGTAGCATCCCAAAGCACTTACTCCAGTGCAGTGTTGGTAGAGCGCTGCATTCTCGGAGGAGCAATCCTTCAGATAAAATGTGAAGGTCCTGATTGCTTGTTCGGGGAGATGATAAAATAACCTATAACTGTTTGTTTCATATAGTCCCTGTACCACGGCCAACAAATCCTCCAGTTAAATTGATCATTCAGTTCATCGCTGTGTGTAAATTTCCTGCTGCTTACAAATAGTCATTACACTTCAAAGGAACTACTGCAAAGTGTTTTGAAATGCATCAGATGCAAGGCATATCATTGTACATACCCTGAGTACTATCTTCATCTTGAGTGTGCTGTTGGGGCCAGAGTGCTTCAGTTGGAATCGCTGATTCAGAGTCAGGTCTTCAGCTTCCAACAGCTGTTCAAGACGCAGGTTATAAGAACCCAGTGAGCACTGGTGATGGTCGTCTTTAATCTGGGGGTGTGGGGGGGAGGAGAAAGAACTGTAAGCGGCAGGGCATTGAGTGAAAGATATATATAAAGATGAAAGCAAACCTAGATGTTCTCTGCGTTCTAGGGACAATTAGTGAGGTCAGGCTGTGGTGCTCCAACGTACTATGGAGCTGAACGCTGCAGGTGCTCTGATGGCAATTTTCAGTCTTGGCTGGGACAGAACTGGAAGCCAGAAGCCAGCTCCTTCCACAAAGGCTGACAGGGAAATACAGCAAATCCACCAATAGAAACAGAAGCCATGTAAACAGTGTTGGTATGTATCCTATAGTATTGGCCAGTGGCTCCCTTATTGCTCGTTGTTTTATTTTTGTTTTGCCATTTCCTGAAAGAGCTTCCAAACTTTTAACAAACAAGAAAACAGACCGTTGTAAATTGATATTAGAACTACTAGGAAACATCATCCCAATTCTGTTGGAAACTTTAGCTGTTCTGATTGTGTTAGCTGCACTAAAAAACCCAAAGAGATTGCCTTTTTAAGTTTTATTGTTAAATAATATTCTACTGAGGGAATTGAATCCAAACAGAAATCCAATTTATTGTGAGTGTATTGCAGCACAAAAAANCTCTTTTCTCCAACACTTTTACCCTAAACATTGTACCTCAACATCCAGCTCTTGGGTTTGAGGATTGTGAACAAAGAAAGTAAACGCCTCTTCCCAAACTGGTTCTGTAGTCCGATACCGGATCTGCAAACAGCAAGAGAAGAATCATTGATGAATCAGTGATAAAACCTTTTCCTTTCTCCGTTTCCTTCAATGCAATCTTTGCATCTTCCTCACAAAAGGTCTCTTCTAATGAAGCAACAATTTCACATTCAACTCAAATAGAAGCTCTTAGAATGTAGGGTAAGCTTTAGGAAGCTGTACAGAATAGTGTTGTTACTAGCATCACAATGCTGGGGGTCAACATTGTCAAGGCAGTATGACACAAGGGCACAAGGTCCAGAGTTGTGAAAAACAATTTTAGGACAGACAAGCAGACATCAGGAAGTAATCCCTTACATAGAGGATAATCAACAGTTGGAAAAGGTTACTAGGAACAGTGGGCCAGCCACACTGGACACACTTTAGAAACAGCTGGTTACACCAACAGGAAGATTGGCATTCAGAAAGGCCAAGTTTAAAAGGATTTCTTCATCTGAATCTCTGCAGTTATCTTATGAACTATGTCCTCTTGTGAAAATATATCTGATGTGTTGGCCTGGCTCAGTCGGCAGCACTCTCCTGAATCAGAAAGTTATGGGTTCAAACCCCACGTCGGGACTTTGAACTCACAGTCTAGGCTCACACTTCAACATAGTGGTGGAGGAGCGCTGCACTGTTGGAGCTGTCATCCTTCAGGCGAGACGTTAAAACTGAAGTACTGTCTGATTGTTCAAATGTTAAAGCATTGGAGTCCTGTAGCTATTGGAGTCCTGTAGCTCAGTGGTTAGAGCACTCGCTTTGCAAGCGAGACCTGAGTTCAATTCTAGGCAGAGGGCGAAACCTTGGGCAAGTTTCCTTACTCCACACAGAGCCTAATAATAATCCCTCCAAAACCAAAAACAATAATAAATTGGTCATTTTCAATCTACGACTGTTTGTAGGACATTGCTGTGCGCAATTGGCTGCCGCGTTCGCCCACAAATATACAGTCAATTCACTTTATAGTATATTCTGTGAAGCGCTTTGGGACGTCCTCCCGACGTGAAAAGCGCTTTATCAAATGCAAGGATTATTATTATTATTATTAAAGATCACACTCCCCTACTTGTTTTTCCCCAGTGTCCTGGTCAACAATCCCCCAGATAAAATTGGACATTTACTTCATGGCTGTTTGTGGGAAATTGCTCGGCGCAAATTGGCTGCTGCATTCGCCTACACAATGCAGGCATTACACTTTCCAGTTAATCGTAGCAAGCGCTTTGAGACATCTTCCCAACATGGGCTACACTAAATGCAAGGATTATTATTATCTTCAAAATATGTATGGTAAAGTTGAGAAGCCTAGATTTAGAATATCACTAGGGCTGAAGAGTAGGGGAGAAGCCCAGACAAGTTATGACCCAGTGGCTTGTTTATCCTTATTATTATAGCCATGTTACAAGTCCTAAAGATTGGTTTGGATGAAGAAGGCCCTTTGGCTGATCTGATCTCATCATTCCAGAACACCCACCTTAACCCCCCCCACCCCACCATTGCAGCATCCAGCTGCTCTTTAAATGGGTCCAGTGGCCTGGCCTCAACCACTTTTCCTGGCAAACTGTTTCCAGCTGTTGATTACACTCCGAGTATCTGTTTGCAATGGTTCAAAAATCATTATGTGGTGAGTGTGTGTGTTTACCGGGATTAATATTGTGGTCTACAAAGAACAAGCAATGCAGCTGAATGATAAATTTGTGTTGTTGCTACAGGTAAACACAGGGCTTGGGAGGAAAATAGCTGCTTACCTTACTTTCAAATGTGTTGTGCCCTACTGACAACTGGACAAATGGGTTAGGTTCGCTGTTCATTTTCTTTCCGAACTGGAATGTAAGATAAAAACTTTTGAAGTCAGCTGAAGGAAACATAAATTCAAAGTTATTTAGTAATTAGTAAAAATGGCGCATTCCGGGTCAGGCTTTGAAACTCACTCATTCCTCTCCCACTGCCCCTAGAATAAATTAAGACATTGATGTTACAGGTATCTTTTACAAGCGGCTACAGAGGTACATTATATTAAGTGGGTAGGTGAGTAATATTAATAGGTGAGCATGATAACAAACGAATGCTATAATTGGAGTCTTTTCCACAGTAATTTTTCACCCACCCCCAAAAAGTCACACTCTGAAATACCATTTGTTGCAATTAATAGAATGACAGAAAGCATTACAGCACTCTGTTTCGCTCTTTGTGCTTGTGCTGGTGTTAGCTCCCACATTGAAGTGAGCTACAGTATTTAAGCAGATCTTTCACCCAATCTTATGTCAAGGGGATGTTATTCTAAATAAAAAATACATTTAATGCTGTGCACATGACAATCTGTGTTTAGGAGCAGTGTCAAAAAAACAACACAAACCCTGTAATATTTGCCACCGACCAAGATTTCAACTGCACCCCCTTTATAAAACGTTTGATTTTCTCAAAAAAAGTCAATTAAACAAATCAAGTCTGATTTTGTTCAGTCAGCCAGATGTCTGACACATATGGAAACCCATCACCGTACTTCTTTCTATATTTTTACAAATTCCATTCGGCATTATGGCCTCCAGAGGTTTATCCACAACTGAGATATTAAATTAATTTGATCTGTTGACCACTGTAAAGTTTTTACATTGCTCATAATTTCCTTCCATCTATTGGCTTTTAAACCTCAATCTAATCATTTTAAAAAAAGATCAGACAGGTGTCGGGAACAAGTAAAAACCCACCACTATGTTTAAGAATAACCAAACCAGATAATTTCACATAAGAATGCCACGTAGACATGTGTCTGCAATGGAATGTGCTCTCTCTCCCCGGATGTTCGAAAGAGCCAAGAACCTTAGTGTCTGCATTGAGGTACTGCTAGAGTTGAACTAGATAAAACTGCATAGTTTGACACTAAGAGCCCTGTCTGGCAAGCTCCCAACTGTTTGGGCGTTTACCTATTTAACCATGGATCTTTTGATACACCCTCTTCACTCCTAGTCAGAATATATTTAACCTGGACCTTATCCAACTTAGCTCCTTGCAAACCTGCTGCCTTCTACATTTTCCTCTGGGTTTTTTTTTCTTAACTTTTCCCTCACCTGCAGCTCTTTCAAAAGCTGCTTACATAAAGCTCGAGTATTGTGCCTGTTTTGAGACAGTTTTGCAGTCCCGTTTGTCTACTCTGGGAAAGATCCTATACATAGAAAGAAATTAGTTTTTCCCTTTAACCTAACTAACAATACTCTGGATGAATTGGTTATTCATCTCAATGTTGTTTCTGGCACAAAATCTTGATATTAATTACAATGCACAATGTAAATTTACATTTATATAGCACCTATTAGGCACTGACAGCATCAGCATCCAGGGATGCACAATCCACCTCACCAAGCCAGTCCAGAACCTTGGCGTCTTGTTTGACGCTCAACTGTCCTTTCTACCCCCACATCCGTGCCATGACCCGATCTGCCTTCTCCTATCTACCCAACATCGCCCGGCTCTGCCACTGCCTCACCCCTCAGGCTGACGAAAGTCTCATCCACACATTCATCACATCTCGACTACCCCAACTCCCTGCTTGTCGTCCTTCCCAACTCTTCCCTCCACAAGTTGAGATCATCCAGAACTTTGCAGCTTGTGTCCTCTCCCGCACCAGGCTCAGTGGCCCTATCATCCCCGACCCTCGTCCGGCTCCATTGGCTCCCCATACTCCAGAGGATAGAGTTCAAAATCCTTGTCCTCGCCTTCAAGGGCCTTTACGACCTTGCCTCTTCCTACCTCTATGACTTACTGACCCCATATCAATCTGTCCGCGATCTCCGCTCAGCAGGGTTGGCCCTCTCCATGTGCTCCTCCCGGCCCACTCCACCATCGGCGGTTGGGCTTTCAGCCTTTCTGCCCCCACCCTTTGGAACTCCATCATACATTTCATTCTCCTCGCTCCCTCCCTTGCCTCCTTCAAGGCGTGTCTCAAGACCCTCCTCTTTGACCGCGCCTTCGGCCACCCTCCTACCCTCCCCGTCCTCCACCCTCGCCAATCACGAGCCCCAATCCCAGGTCCAAATCCCTGACTGTCCAGTGCCTTGGGACATCCTCCCGATGTGAAAGATGCTATACACAAGTCATTTTGTATTGTATCAGGTTGAGAGGACGTCTCAAGCTGCTTAATGGTCCTGGCTTTGCACCCGAGCTGGAGGAGAGAGCCCCCCGAGAGGTGGTGGAGAGAGTAAAGATGACCAATGGCATGATCACAACTCAAATTATTTGTGAAGCACTTCAAGACGTTGCGACATCATGAAATACCATGTAAATGCAAGTTCCTTCTGGCCAGAAAATGATTCTGCGACAATACTTTCTCACCAACTCCTCATTCCCTTTCATCACTTTGCAGTTGCCTCCAGTAGCAGAGAGGAGCTTTGTGTTACCTGGTCATTTTGTTGTGGTAAATGTCTGCCTCAGTTGATAGCACTCTTGCCTCGGAGTCAGAAAGCTGCGGCTTCAAGCCCCGAGTTGAAACCTCGGCTCATGTTCTTGGCTGTCATTATTAGAGGTGCTGTCGTTTTGGATGGGATGTTAAAATCAAAGTCCTGCCTGTCTGTTCAAGTTCCCTGCACACTGGAGAAGGTTTCTCCCAGTGTACTGGTCAAACTACCCTCCAGCTTAAAGCGACTCTCACGCTTTCCGCCGAAAGCAGTCACTATACTTGAGAGTAACTACTGCGAAGGACTCAGAGATATTGCAACTCAATAAAACGCTAAAATAATGCAAATTCTTTCTTAAATCAAACGTTTGATAAAGAGCAAAGTGAAAAAAGTAAGATTTCATTCATAAGATTTTAAAAAATGTGTTGCATTCCTTTAACTTTATTTTCCAAGCGTTAAAAAAAAGGCAAATTCAACATCAATTTTGCTTACTCTTCAGTCAAAATCATACATAAGAAAATTACAAAACATTCCGCCACCCTTCTGATAATCATGCTTTTGTTGCACAGATGGTCATTCATTGGATTAGTTGAAATGAACAGAGTTCACTGAAGGTTGCAAAAAGTTCACATTTCTCATGAAAATAAAAGTGCTGGAAGAGTAAAGTAGGACAACTGGGCATTTGAAAAAGAGAGGGGAAAGGGTAAGGGGATGTATCTAATGCGTCACTTAATGACACAGGATCATACCTGCTTGTTAATTTCTCTTTCATTAGCTTATTGATCTGTTGTGCATATCTGGGGGGGAGGGGGGGTGTCTGTCATTAAATTCACAATTTCCAGCGCTCCCAGCTTTTTCCTTTTTACCTTGCAGATTTTTTTATGGTGCATGGTTCTGGACCACCTAGGCACTATAACTACAGGTATTCACATTGCAATGGCACCTCATAGGTACAAAAGCAGCTGCGGAATCCCCAGATTAACCCTGCAAGCGACACGTGCCACATAATTCACCAACCCAGAGTACCAGCAAGTTACCAGACTGGTATCATGAGCAAATCTTCTTCCAAGCACTTGTATTGAATCTGCTGGCATTGAGCATCATTTGTCTTAAAAACAACTCTCTTAAAGTAAAATGGGCTGAGAGACTCAACTGCTGCAGATGTCATAGAGGGCTGAGTGAGCTTCTCTGACACAAAAAAATCGCTGCTCCGCATGTGTGCTATAGTAGTTCACTTCCACTGTTGTCTCCTATCAAAAGGAATGATTTCCTGAATACTCTTGTACTTTGCACTCGTAACCCATCACTAGGTACAATTTAAACAGTAATGGTTACTTGACATGTTAAATGCCTCTGTGAGGAAGGCAAGCCTGAGGAGGGGAGGATTTGCTGAAGTCCGGGGAAGATTTTCCTTGAAATGCAAAAATTTGCAGGGCTATGGAGTAACAGTGGGAGGGGGGCGGAGGGGACCAAGTTTAATAGATCTTTCAAACAGCAGGTACAGGCATGATGGCTTCATTCTGTGCTGTAAGATTTTATGATTGCGTTTGAGAAGGAGAGGGCAAGGAGGAGGAATCCCCAGTGGGCCATTGCCTTTACCAACTGGGCTATTGGGGGAACCTTTTTTTTTGTTCCATCTCCAGTATTAACGTCATGTTTTATCGACCAATATCCGTTAAAACATGACATTAATACTGAAGATGGAGTGCATTCACTCCACAGCTACAGTGTTTTATTAACGAGTTCATGTTGTTACAAAAGAGGCACCATATTGGCCACAGGAAGCTTTTGTTGCAGCTCTGTCCAACTGGTTACTCCCCTCGTCTCTTCCCGGGAGGCTTGAGAAGGGCTGAGTGAGTGAGATGTGTCCTAACTACAGCGGAGTTCAAGGTTGAAACTCAGAGCCCTGCACCAAGCTTCAAAGAACTAATTTCACATTAGTTCTTGAAACGAAAACCCATCTGTGGCTGCCTTGAGGCAGGGATCATTGAAAGCTGTCATCTTTTCCTCAACAGTAATAGCCCTCAGTTTAACTTTCATCTCCTCACTTCCTTTCCTCAAGAAAGAAGCTCTGAAAGTCACTAACGTTTATAAATAGAAAAAGGGGTAAATGGAAATTTTAAATAATTCCTCTCGCTCAAAACAAATCTTCACTGAAAATAATAAAAAACTATGTCTGGACCCAGGAGTTTGCAAATGAGTTTGAGTTTCATTTTCAGATACCTCTGTGCAGCCTTCAGTGAATGAATATCATTAGATTACCTTCAATTTGGAAGTATTAGCCTTCTTCACGCCTTCAAGGCTTATTTCAAATCGATTTTGCTTTGTGGCAGGAAAGAAGGGAACATAAAGGATTAATAAGGTTGCACATGCAATGTAGCAATAGGACTCGGTTATGGTTAAGTGTCAAGCAATACGATCTGAACAGAAATCTTTGAACGGAAAAAAAAAGCAGGAATTTTTAGATGGCAGCACAAGGAAACTACCAGAGTTCAAGCTAAACCAAGCTTTGCAATGATCAGTGCCCAAAGCAAAGGCCAGCGGGAGGCAGTTTTACATTGAAAAGATGCGAGTCAGCCTGGTCAGCCGTATTCCAGACTGTGATATTTTAGCAATTATAGACCCACTACAGCCAAAACAAAAGCACTATGCAATTGTTTTAAACACTTACAAAGATTGATTTAGAAACTGCCCCTGTTTTTATTGCACTGATCTGCATTTGATTAGAAATTAAAAAAAATTATGAAATGCAATTGTCCTGACCTGGAGACAGGTCAAAACAGATTATAAATTATACATGAGCCAACCTACCATTGGCACTGAAGGGAATATGTAGGAAAGGCAAATGTAATTTTGTTGTTGTTGTACAGGAAAGTACAATAGAAGATTGAGGATTCCCCCATATAATATACCGTAGATCCCCATTATAATGGCCTTCACTATAAAGTGGGTTCACTTATAGCACAATCATAGCCTAAAACATTTACTTACCCCAAAAATCCACAATACACGTACCTGCTCTATCGATGCTTCAAAACACCACCTGGCACACAAGAAGCCAAGCCAAGCGAGAAGTCATCGGATTACTGTCAATATTACTTCTTGCACACAGCACATGTGAACCTCTCTGCCGTACCTCTCTATTCCCTTCTCCCTCATGTTTGTATCAAGTTTCCTCTTTAATATGAAAACTGTATTCAAAACATTTGTACAAACCTTTGAATCCCACGTCAGTTTTCTATATCTGAACATGCACCAAAACAGTGCACATGCCTCCAAATAAATCTGAACCATATGATGTTCACTGTATTAGTGCAATCACACTTCATCACACAGAATCTCTAAAAGCACACACATGGGAACACTCACAAACAAGTCTCTAAAGACTGAGCTAGTATTTTCACAAAATACTAGTCCCGATGCTCTCCTCTCTCGCAAGTATCCACACCCAAAGTTTCCTTCGTAGACATTCTTGGAGGAGATGGAAGTGAAAGAGAAAGCAAAGAATGACAGGCACGCACTGTAGGGAAAGGCAAAGTGGAATGTAGACACGGCTAAGACAGTTTCTTAGCATATACAGTTGCAGGAGGTCGAGAGAAAAGACAGCAAAACTTCAGGAGAGCAGTAGGTGTGGATATCACCTTAGCTGAGATGTACAAAACTTTAGTTAATCCACGGACAAAACACAGTCAGTGCACTTTACAGTAAACCCCGTGAAGCACTTTAGGACGTCCTCCTGACGTGAAAGGTGCTAGGCCATTTGTAAGGATTACTATTATTAGAGAGGAATTAGAAACAAGTGGAAAATGATATTTGAGGATGCTCTTCTCTCAAATACATTCTAAATTCCCCTTCCCCACAATTTGAGGCACCGAGAAAGTAAATGGCAATGTCTTTCAGAATTGGGTCTATTGAGTTAAGCAACATGAATTGTTGATATCAATATTGCACCTCTGCATACTCACCCCACACAGCTCCTGGAAACTGAAGAGAAAACTACAACAAAACTCCATCACACCAGAAGAAACTATAAAGTAGACAGTTAAGAGAAACTTAAATGCAACTGCTCCCTCATAAACAGAATTTAAATAACTTTTTGAGGAATCTGGATTGTTTGTAAATGTAAAGATCTAACCAGGAGGAATTGTGTCTAACATAAAGCAATACTGTTCCACTAACAACAACAACAAAATTACATTTGTATATTGTCTTTCAATTCGGAAGGACATCCCAAGGCGCTGGACAGTCAGAGCTTCGGACCTGATCTGGGGGTCGGGATTGGGGAGGGTGGAGGGCAGGGGATGAAGCAGGGTGATCAAAAGCACAGTTGAAGAGGAGCGTCTTGAGATGGGTCTTGAAGGAGGCAAGGGAGGGGGCGAGACGGAGGGACTGCGGGATGGAGTTCCAGCGGGTGGGGCAGGCAAGGCAGGGGATGTGAAGCAGGCTGGAGCCCGCTGAGTGGAGGGAGCAGGCCGGATGGTAGGGGGTTAGGAGGTCGCTGAGGTAGGTGGGGGGCAAAGCCCTGGAGAGCTTTTAAGGCGAGGGCCAGGATCTTGAACTATATCCTCTGTGTGATGGGAAGCCAGTGGAGTCGGGCGAGGATGGGGGTGATAAGGGCACGGAGCCTGGTGTGGGAGAGGACACGGGCTGCAGAGTTCTGGATGAACTGCAGCCTATGGAGGGAGGAGTTGGGGAGATCGACAAGCAGGGAGTTTTCATAGTCAAGCCTTGATGCAATGAATGAGTGTACAAGGGTTTCAGCGGCCTGCTATGTGTGACAGTAGCGGAGCCGGGCAATGTTGAGGAGGTGGGGGAAGGCAGAGATGCGGGGTTGAAAGGATAGTTGAGGGTCAAACAAGATGCCATGGTTCCAGACTGGCTTAGTAAGGTGGAGTGTGCATCCATAGACAGTGATCTATCAGTGCCTGACGTGTGGGAAGCGCTGACAGGAGCCAATCAAGAGAGCCTCGGTCTTGTTGACGTTCAACTGAAGAAAGCTAGCTCTCATGATATCCGACAGACATTCTGTCAGGACAGCCGTGGTCCTGGAGCCTGTAGTCAAGTGTAGAGGCAGAGAAGTAGAGTTGGGTGTCATCTGCATACATATGGAAGTTGACCCCATTCTTTGGATGATGTCACCAAGAGGGAGCATATAGATATTGAAGAGGAGGGGACCCAGGACATAGCCCTGAGGAACGCCGCATGAGATGATGCGGGGGCTAGAGGAGAAGCCGTTTGCAGAGATGAAGTGGAGGCGGTGTGAGAGGTACGATCTGAATCAATCAAGGACAGAGCCGTGAAGGTTGAGGTGAGAGGAGAGGCAGAGGATGAGGTTAGAGTGTCAATGCTGCCGAAGGCTGCAGAGAGGTCAAGGAGGATGAGGAGACAGGGAGCCCTGGTTGCAGATGGACAGAATGTCATTTGTCACTTTGACCAGGGCTGGTTCTGTTCTGTGGGCGACACGGAAACCCGACTGGAGGGGTTCGTGAAGGGAGTGGTGGGAGAGGAAGGAGTGAAGCTGGGTAGCAACAACTCATTCCAGGACCTTGGAGGGGAAAGGGAGGTTGGAGATGGGACAGTAGTTTGAGAGTAGTGATGGGTCCAGGGAGGGTTTTTATAGGAGTTTTAAAAGAGGTGGGAGCAGTACCAGTGGACAGGGAGAGAATTGTGACAGGCAAGGAGATGGAGCTGGGAGGTAAGGAGAGGGGTAGGGATGGGGTCGAGGGAGCAGGTGGTTAGTTTCATGAGTGTTATAGTGGTGGTGAGAGAGGAGTGGGAGACAAGTTCGAAGGTGTGGAGAGAGGGATGGGTAGGGGCCGGGGTGAGAGGGGGAGATGGGGAGGGGGTAATAGATGGAAAGGCAGAGGCAGCTGAGCGGATCCCCTCAACTTTGGATTCAAGGAAATCCAGCATCGCCTCGCAGTTGTCATTGTACCATACAGACTGGAAACATGCCAGGTTTGATCCCTGGATTGTGGTGCATTTGCAGAACTTAGCCAGAGCAGCTTCTGAGTTCCAGTTTCACAGTTTAATGTGGGGGGGGAGGGGAGTAGGGAGAGAAGGAATATCAGCTTTAACTCTCAGCTACTGATCACTATCCAATTTTGCTGACACATTAGGAGAGTATTGAGCTCAGCTATGATATCTTCAGAACTGCTGGCACTCACCGCCACACAATGACCACTTGGGCAAGATAGCAACAACAACAACAGAGAAGACAAACTGTGGAAAGGGCAATCGTAGAACACAACTCCTATCCTGACTGGTGTTGCTGGAACCTTAGCCTCAGCTGCTTTTTGAACCTAGGACCAACAGTCTGTCACACCCAGAAACTCATCATCCTGTTTAATGGTATCGAAACCAAACTACTGAGAGTTCTCCATATATGCATGAAAATTTCTGTTGCAGTGGAATGGAGTGCTCACTATCTCCAGAGGGATGAATCTTTCTCATCTATCCTGAAAAGTATTTACCGTAGGGTTTAGAAGCGTCAAAGCTTGGGAACCAAAGCATTGAGTTGACTGCTGGAGTTAATACATGTGGCTTGATATTACTCGGGCTGTCAAACAGTATTTGACAAGCTTCTGAACTCTTGTCCAGTTAGGACCACCCAACTTATTAGGGCTATGACTTGTAGGGTTAACAAAAGCCAAGCAGGAAGAATCCCTGCACAGTGACTGGTGTGTTTTTGACATCAACAGCAGCTTGGAGGACTGTGGAACTGTGTGGTTCAGGGTAATGAGACTACTGCAGAGGACTGGCAACATTCATCAAATGTCGCTGATACTGTCCAGATAAGAATGCTGCAGTTGACATCCCCAGGCAGGAGATGGCATCAGTGACACATCTTACGAAATGCCGAAACGGCAACAGAGGGGGGAAATAATGAATTATAGAATCTTCAGATAACTACGTTCGTCAAGTATAAAGATAAAAGGACAAAAAAATGTAACGTATGCTTCATTGTCACTGTTAAGAGATCAGTAGAATGTATTCAGGAACAAAGAGTGAATATGAAATAAATAATTGTTTCAGCTCATCAACTGCAAAACAAAAGGAATAAAATGTGATCTAGTATCAGATACCCCTGCTGATATTTGTTGAACAATTTGAATGTGTCTAATGATGCATGGAATAAGCATATGAACAGGCTATTATGTGTAAACACAGGGAATTACAGGTGCTCTTAATTAAGTAATGAGTGAAAATGATTAGTTGTTGTGTTGTTCCAAGTTGTGTTGTCTATTATTTAACTGAGGGCATCTTTAATTCCATGTGTTTAAACATGGTGCTTGTTGCATGTTTAAACATTTTACACATAGTACATAACAGATCCGAAGGTACATACATTGGTTAAATTGTCTTAATAGAAGAAGGTAGTATATTGAAATGATGTGGCAACACGTTGGACTATAGGATATTTGTTAACAGTCACAATACCCTGAAAAAANTAATTTTATACATAATTTTCACTTACTGGGAGATTCTTGGCTGAGTCCATATAGACGATGAGTAAGGCAGAGGAAAGCCCATCATTGGCCTGCCCTTTAATAGCTTTGGTACTGGCCATTGCCTGGACAACAGAACAATAAACGGAGTTTACACTGGAATTTACCACGCTAATCCCCAACTAAAAACACAGGCTACATGTTTGATCTTACACACAATACAACACATCTGAATCACATTCATTATTAAGCCTTTGATTCATTCCGCTGATGATCCGATAGTGACAAATGGAGATTTGATTGATTAATGAACCTGCAAAGTCAATTGAAAATGTGTAATTTAAACCTTTTTGAGGGTCAGCCGGGTGTCTGACACATGCAGAAACTCAACATCATGCTTAAGAATATCTAAACCAAACAGAGTTTCATGTTCTCCTCACTATACATGCAAAATCCAGAAATGTTTATTGGAATGGAATGTGCAATCTCTCCTTGGAGGGATGCATCCCTCTCACCTAATTCCGGAGAATATTAGGCACAGGTTGGCAACAGCCAAGGCTTGCGAATCCCAGAGTGTGTGTTAGGGTACTGCTGGAGTTTACCCAGCTAAAACCGCATAGATTTTAAACCTATTCCAACTGGTTGCTTAGACACGGCCAATTTTGCAGGGCATTCCATTACCTCAAATTAGTTTATTAAAACTCGATCTTTGGAAATTAGGAACAAAAGAAGGCTATTTGTCCCATTGAGACCCCTCCATCTATAGACGATTCCATGCCTACGTATTACCCTTTAACTAGAAAATAATAGACCTTACAGTACATCGTGTGAAGTGCTCTGAGACATCCTCCCGACATGAAAGGCGCTATATCAAATGCAAGGATTATTTTTATTACTACAAGGTGCTCTTAATCCCACTGCCTGTCATATTTCTTAATAAATGTAAGTATCTATTCATCTCTCTGTTAAATCACTCAATTAGTTTGTCAACTCTCTCTCTCTAGGGCAGTGCATCCCAGATTCTTACTATCCTTTGTAGGGACAATTTTTTCCATCCAACTTGGTCCTGGCCTGTTTTGCCCTAAATTGAAGGTTATGTCCTCCCAGATTCTCCAGGGAGGCTTATTTACTTTCTCGTCTACATTTGCATCTGAACAGCAACTGGAAAAGTTCAAGTGATCTACCGTATTGTTTGATTGCCAGGTTATATTTGACACAATGCATGTTTTACGTACAGCTGCATCAAATCTGTAAATATACAGCAATCGGATATCAGTCTCACATCTGGACCTGTGCACATCTATGTCCATTCCTCTATACTGAGCTGTAAGTTCGGCAAACTGTGATTGAGAAATAAATTCTGTTGGTAGGATCAATGCATCTGCATATCTTCCGAACTGCTCTGCTTCTTCATTGCTGTACACCACTAGAATTCCTTGATTTACACAAAATTACATTTGTAAAGCACCATTCACGTCGGGACGATGTCCCAAGGCGCTGAACAGTCAGGGATTAGGACAAAAAACAGGACAGTTAGAGTCTTGCATCATTTTCAATTTTGTGAACTATTCTATCAAAACTCCAACATGCACCTTACATTCAAGTGACAGAAAGTAATATTAAAAAGTCAGCGTGAATTTAAGCCTTGGGAGCCATTGCCTCCAAATCTGAACAACAGATGTACCAAGCCTGCAGGCTCAGTGTCGTGCTCCACCACTGTCAAATGGTCTAGAGCTGTACCCTGCATGAGATGCGATATGTAAATGCAAGTTATTGTTGTTGTACCTCAGTCAATTTCTCAGGTGTCGGCAGCAGAGAGAGCCACTCCAGCTTCAGGTGTAACTTTCCTCTGCTCACTTCCTCCAAATCGAACCACTGCAAACAGATATTTATATATATATATAGAAAGTAACAAAACAGTAATAACAGTGGGCTCCCAGGTCCCAAACCTGCACCCATTTGTGAGAAAGACACAATCAAGGTCTCTGATAATCCCCTCAATAGTTATCTTGTGGAGTTACTCACATCAGACCTGAAGACAGCTGATCTTCATGCATTGACTTTTAAGGTCTATTTGCAATAGAGGTAAATAATGCATCTATTTGGTATCTATGGAATAGAGAAATAACAGTAAGAAAAAATAAAACAACTTACCTGATCCACCAGCTGTTCTTTCTGTACTTCAACGAGGTCAAGAATAAGGCTGGAATGAGAGAATACATAGGTTTTATAAGACACAAGGCTTCAAGCTCATAGTCTAGGCTGAAACTCCAGTGCAGTGAGGGGCTGTGCTGCATTGTTGGAGGTGTCAGAGTTTAGATGAGACATTAAACTGAGGTCCTGTTGGCCTGTTCAGGCGGCTGTTAAAGATCCCATGGCACTATTCAAAAAGAGAAGGGAGTTTCTCCCCATGTTCTGGCCAACAATACTCCCTAGCTAAAATTGGCTATTTAGTTCATGGCTGTTTGTGGGACATTGCTGTGCACAAACTGGATGCCACATTTGGCTATGAATAAGCAGTCACTGCACTTTACTCTAGAATTTTGACGCACTTTGAGACGTTTTAATAATGTATTAAAACATTATATCAAACGCAAAGATTATTACATTTTGCAGTAAAAGTTCAAAAGATTCTAATGCAAAGTATTTAATATCAATAACATTCTTCCCTGAGTATTTTTTTTTCTTTCATCAATATGACCAAAGATGGTTGACCTTTGTTTTAAAAATGTTATTAATGTGTAAACTGTTTTATGAAAACCCCAACATGCACTCCACTCCCAGCTTGGCTTCAGGCTCCAGCACTCTCAAGTGCTCTGAGACCCTACCCTACATGAGGAGCCCTACAGAAATGAAAATTGTTGTTGTTGTTGTTGTCTTTACCTGCCAAGGAAATCGTCTTTATCTGGATCTTCGTCAAAAAGCTCAATCTCCAGCTCCTGCCCTGGACTCTCGTACACTAAGGCCTACAGATAGAGAAAACAGTTGAAATTGTTAAATAGACTAGATTCTGATTTGATAAAATTACTTATTTTCTCTCTTTGAGGAGAGACCACAAATAAGCCCTTGTCGGGCCAATATCTACGCTTGCAAAGGGCACTGGAGCCATTACTGAAATCTTTGGGGCTCAGAGATTCAGCTTAAATGGAACAAAAAGGATTGGAACAAACTACAGTAGTAAAGAAACTCGATTATTTAGAGGATAATATGAATTGACTGTCAAATCCCATTAATTTGTATAAAATAACATGTATTGTAAAATTTCATGCTTTTAACAGAAACAACTCCATACACTTTTGAATCAGCATCACTTCCCATTTACAACTGTTCTGAAACTCAAGAGTTACAGTCAAAGAGGAAAGCTGTAGAGTGGCCTTGCGTCCACTACAAATCTACACTACACAGTTCTAACATGAGGAGGAAGCTCCACTGGTTCCTTACATTCACTAAGCAGTTCACTCACCTCATAAACCTCATTCCACCTTGGATTTAGATTCTCTTTGATGGTCTTGCTCTGGAACATTTGGTTACCAACACGGAGAATGCCGTAGGGGTCCGACTTTCCCTTCACAAGTCCTTTCATGAACGTGTCCTTCCATTCCAGATCCTGAGCTTCAATAAAGTGTATCCTGAGAAACCCCTGAAAAAAAATGAATGGGTAATCGTGAAAAAAATTGTGCACGAATAATGCTTGATTTTAATATTTAGAACAAATTCTGGCTGACAATTCAGCAGACAGTGAACAATGAAAAACTAGCAGCTATCACAAGATGTTAATGTTACCAGGAACTCAGACACCATATGTCATTCAGATTCAAGTTTAAATTACAGCTGCTATAATGTATGCTTGTGTAATCTTGATGTTAAAAGTGCGTGGGTGTGCATGTGAGTATATACACACCAGGAAGCATTATTGTGGACTTGGTTCTGTGTATAATAATAATAATGATCCTTGCATTTGATATAGTGCCTTATCACGTCTTCTAGTCGTCTGAAAGTGCTTCACAGAATATACTGTAAAGTGATTTGACTGTATATTTTGCAGCCAATTGCACACAGCAGTGTCCCACAAACAGTCGGTTTTATTTTCTAAGGAATTATTACCCCTGGAAAAGCGATCAACTAACAACCGGGCTCCCACTTACTGCTAGGTAAGAGGTGTGTGGAGTAAGGAAACTTGCCCAACATTTCACCCTGCCAGGAATCAAACCCAGGTCTCTCGCTTGGCCCAGTTTTCTCCTCATATCCAACCCTTCTTGAAATACAGTATGTAAGGATACAGTACCATCAATACAGAACAAATGGCTGTAGATTGTAGGAACCCTTCTCTATGCTGGTCTGGGGAGGGGGAGAATGTCCCACTCTTTAGCCAGTGGTCCCAGCTGGAAGGTGTATGTGTGGACATGATCAGATTAGATGTGATGCCCAATCTCTTCCTCCTCCCCCTCCCCAAACAAGTTTGACAACAAAAACATTACAGCTCGTACGTGAAGAATGGCCACTGGACGAGGTATTGGGTGACACATGGCAAGCGAGAAAACATACAACAATCTTACAATCCTTACACTTGATATAGCGCCTTTCATGTCAGGAGGACATCTCAAAGCGTTTCACAACATAATAATATAATACTAATAATCCTTGGATATAGCGCCTTATCACGTCTTCGAGACGTCTCAAAGTGCTTCACAGAATATACTGTAAAGCACTGAGACTATTATTTTGTAGGCTAAAGAGACAGCCAAATTGTGCAAAGCAATTTCCAACAGACAGCCATGAAGTGAATGACCACATTTATTGGGGGGAATTGTCAGCCAGAACACCAGGAGAAATTCCCTTTGCAGGAAATACATCAACAAACCACCAGCAAAGAGACAGCATCTCCAGGTGATAACAGGGAAGACACTGGCACAAAACACCCAGAACACTTGTAAAGTGATGAGGCGCTGTATCAAATGCAAGGATTAAAGTGAAACAAAAACATCAGATTTTACTGACGCTCGAGTTACTGGAATGCCTGAAACTTACTTTTGGAATGGGGAAGCGGAGCTGAGCCAACTGCACCTCATCTACCAGCGGCACGGTGATCCGATTCGGTAGCACCAGATAGTTGGAGATGATGTCAAGGATGATTGTATTGGACATGCCACTGAGGGGAAAGGAGCACAGCAATGGAATTAGCCTCCTACTCAGAGATGAAATGTGAAATTCAACTCCATATCATAAATTGCACTTAATAGTTCACATAAAAGAACATTTCAAAGCACTTGACAGATGTTGCGGTAGATACTATAGGGCAAATCATACTATACACAATCTTACCACTGTGCCACTTACCACTATATCTTACTACAATTAGCAGGTACAATCACTAATAAGTATTCGGTCAATGCAGTTAATGCAGTTAAGTTCTTTCTGATTTTTGACTCGGTTCTTTGACTTAGTATCCAATAAGTGGCATACATTATTGAACAAGAGGAATTTTTCTTTTAGACTGGTTTAGTTTATTGAGGAAATACACATCATTCATACATCTATTTACACCTAATTGGAGTTTGATAGACAAATGAATGCAGGTTAGCTGTTAATTTATGATGCTCATCCCACACTCAAATTCCAACTACTTCAGGCATTCAGACCTTTACAGTATTTACAGGACAGTGTACTGACAGGAATTGACACAGAGAGAAACAAAGCTCCCAGCATGAGAGAGGTGAACTGTAAGTGGGAACAATATGATTTTAAAAAGGAATGGGGATCTGAGGGAGCAATGTACTCCCAAGGACCCCCCACCTCAGAAACATCATGCAAGATAATAATAATAATCCTTGCATTTGATATAGTGCCTTATCACGTAGTCATGACATCTCAAAGTGCTTCACAGAATATACTGTAAAGTGGATTTGACTGTATTTGGGGGCAAAATGCAACAGGCAATAGCGCACAGAAATGTCCCACAAACAACCATGGAGTGAGTGACCAATTTTATTTGGGGGATTCTTGGCCAGGACACCCGGAGAAACTCCCTTCTCTTTTCGAATAGTGCCGTGGGAATTTTAATGTCCACCTGAACAGGCAGACTTTGTTTGATATTACAACTATATTATATTGGTTTGATATTGGTCTGATATGTTTTGTGAGTCAATTCACAGTCAATTCACTTTACGGTATATTCTGTGAAGTGCTTTGAGACGTCTCAAAGATGTGATGAGGCGCTATATCAAATGCCAGGATTATTATTACAAACCTAAAATCATTGTTTTGAAGCATTTCTCATCTTTTTCCACCAGAGGGCAGCAGTGACAAATTTTCACTTTCTTTATAAAAAATATTGACTTGATTCATTAAGCACCAGAAATACTTAATGGTTTATTGACAGACTGGAGTCTGTCAAATGGAGTCTACCTTGTCTGCTCCCAGAAGATTTACTGTAAAGTGAAGCAACTGTGCAGGCGAATGTGGCAGCCAATTTGCGCACAGTATGTCCCTCAAACAGTCACGACAATTTCACCTGGAGGATTAGTTAGCCAGTTTACCGGGAGAAACTTTTTTTGAATAGTGTTATGTTTATTGTCCACCTGAGCAGGTAGTTAAGTTTAATGTTTCATCTGAAAGATGGCACGTCTCATAATGTAGCACTCTTCCAGCATTATCGGAGTCAAGTCGACATGGGGTTGAACCCACAACCTTCTGAATCAAAGGTGAGAGCAACTGAGCCAGACTGATACCTAGGATTATGGTGGGGTTCCATGACCTCACTCCATCACTAGGTAGGGTTGGGCAAGAAAATAGAGGCATTTAAAATTGAGGAAGAGAATCTTGAATTTGATCGGCTGTGCAACCGGAAACCAGTGGAGACGGGCAAGTCTGGTGCTGGAAAGGACCTGGGCTGCAGAATTCTGGATGGTCTGCAGATTGTAGGGAAAAGCTGGGGAGAGCAGCGAGCAGGGCATTCGAGTAATTAAGTCTGGAAGTGATGAAGGCGTAGATGAGGGTGGAACCACACAAATAACTTTTAAGGATTTTTTAAATGTTATTCAGGAGCCAGACGTGTGCCTCAACTTAGCTCAGTGGTAGCACTTATGGCTCTGGGTATATGAGGTTCACTCCTCATGTTGGGGCTTGAGCTCACAGTTTAAGCAGACACTCCAGTACATTATCAGAGCATCTGCCCCCCGGATGGATGCTACAGATCCCTTAACATGAGAGAAAGGCGTTTTGAAATATTAGTCTAGACTGTGACCCTAAAGTCCTAATGTGCTGCTACCAACTGAGCCACGCTGACTCCTGCAAGCTTGGTAATACCAGGACAGTTCAATACTGATTTCAAGATCCTCACCTATAAATTCCTTCATGCTCTTGCACCTCCCAATTTCCCCGATCTCCTCCAATTCTGTTTGCAGCCTCCGCTCAGCTAACTCTGATTTGCTCAGTGCTCTGAGACCCTACCCTGAGTGAAGGGCCATATACAAATGCATCTTACTGAGTGTCCCCTGCACTACCTACTTTTGGAGGCTGAGCATTCTGATTCTAAGCTCCTAAACTCTGGAACTCCCTCCACACATCTCTATTGGTTTCTTCAACTGCACCTGTAGTCACCATCCCTTCACCCTCCAACTTGGTGTACATCCCCACCCCTGTAGAAATACTCTTGAGATGTTATTCAACGTGAAGCAAGTTGTTGCTGCTGTTTTCACACCACTGACTTGCATCAATCCTCCCCAGAGACCAGGGACTAAAACAACCAGAACAAAACACATTTCTTTGAAGTGGTTTCTGCAGACTCTGAGAAATTTCCGGCAATACAATTAACTTACACTTATATAGTGTACAAGAAACATCTCAAAGCCCTTCACTGAATGAGATTAGTTAGTATGAAATAAATGTTATGCAAAGCAGCAGCTAATTTATGCCACAAATGTCCTACATTTCCATCCTAGAAACTGAAAAAGAACCGCAAGTTAACCGAAGTTACACTTAGAATTCTCGTAAAATATTAATAATCCTTGCATTTGTTACAGTACCTTATCACGCTGATGATACGTCTCAAAATGCTTCACAGAATATACTGTAAAGGAGATTGCCTGTGCATTTTGTGAGCGAAACGTAAAAGCAGCTCTGTTAGATCATAGGAGTGTAATATAACTCAATCCAAGTCACAGGCGTGTTAGCAGCTTCTTTATTTTGTCTTTCCCAACTCTCAATAAAGCAACACCCTTATCACTACTAACCAATCTACATTACACACCCTTTGTCCCACTCCCAGTGTCCTTTTACACTTCCTCTCATTGGCACCTTGTCAATTGCCTAATTAATCTTAATTGAGTATTCAACAGGAGGACGGCTGATAAAAGGTGGGTACTTCCATATAGGAAGGAAATTATTGAACACACTTACTATGGCTAGTGAATTTCCTTGTCATCAGCTCACAGGCTTGCCAGCCTCGTGGCTTGACTGAGGAGCAAGAGTTGTCAAACATTTTTTTTAAAAATGAAGCTAAACATGAAAAGACACATTTTACCTAGAGGAGGGGAGTGTTCTTCAAAACAGCAAATTCCTTTGCACATTGCCGAGTATACATTGCAGTAACCCGTGTTGTGGTTTTAACCTCTCAAAGGACGCTGCAGCACAGAAACAGGCCCTTAGGTCCATCAAGTTGTGTGTTCAGCCTGGCTGAATTGGTCTGAGTCAGAAGACTGTGGGTTCAAGCCCCACGTTGGGACTTGAACTCACATAATCTAAGATAACCCTCCAATGCAGTAATAGGGGTGTAGCCTTGTTGGAGGTGCCGACCTCGGGAAGAAATGTTGAATCAAGGCCCCATCTCCTTGTTCAGCAGATGTTAAAGATCCCAGAGCACTATTTGAAAAGAGAAGGGAGCTTCTCCTCGTGTCTTGGCTAACAATCCCTCAAATAATATTGGTCATTTGTTTCATGGCTATTTAAAGGACATTGCTGTGTGAAAACTGGACTGCGTTGTGCACAGAAGTCACTCTTCTTCACAGTAAATCCTGTGAAATGCTTTGAGATGTCTTTATCAATCTCTTCTCCTTCCCCCCAAAGGGCTTACATGTTGAAGAATAGATGTATTTTGAAACGCAGAGTATTGGAATCAAAGTTTTATTACAAAGTTATAGGTGTACAATTGTAAGGGAAAGATTCAGGATTCTGACTGTTCCTCTTCCATGATTGCTGGAAACTCTCCTTTTTTATATACTATTTTTGTTCACTACAGAACCCTGAAAACAGAATGATCTCATTCCTAATCTAGCGGTCCTCTAAAATCATTGGTACCAAGACACCAACTGACGAGCATTTCGACTATCCATCAAATGTTATCAATGCCTGGACACCAAGCTAATGAGCATTTTGATGATCTATCAATGTTATCTTTATCTTTCCTCTTACTAACTAGCACACATTCCTCTGGTCAGCCTTGCTGTCCAAGATTACATATTGCAGCTGGTCAGTAATTAGTATGGCCTTCTCTCTGTACATTACTGTGGTTAACTGTTGTGGTGCTGACACATCTGACAGTCCTCCCATTGTGAAAGCCACTGTATGAAATGCAAGGATTACTATTATTATTATTATAAATCTGCGCTAATGTTTTCTCCAAATGAGCCACATGATCTAAACTCACTCTCCTGCTCTCACCCTATACTCTTTAATATTCTTTTTGAATGGCACTCGGCATCGTGCTACGCCACTGTCAAGTGCTCTGGGATGCTACCCTGTGTGAGGGGTGCTATATAAATGCAAGTTGGTGTTGTTTCCTCTCTAATTCCCTTTTAAAAGAATGTATGGACTTTGCTTTCTGGCCTGAGGTTTGAGCCTTTTACACGAATGAACATAAGTATTGTATCTCAACCTTCATGGGCTGGAAACATTCTATACAATATATATCCCAAGCATACGGACACAGGGCTAGAATTTAACACAACACAAGAGAAAACAGGACATTTAGCAAGAAACCAGTGACAGATGCCAAGTGACCGCTCCGCTGATCACATTCCAAAGTCCTGCCATTCAAGGCTTTGTAATTGCAAATCGACAGCTTTGTCTACAAGATTTATCCAAACTCCCTCAGATGCTGTGTGAAGCAAATGCCATTTTGCTGCCTAGACTGTTGGCATGTTTCCTGATTGC